ATCTGCCCCAAAATCTGCCCCAAATTCACCCCAAAATCTGCCCCGAATTTCCCCAAATTCACCCCCAACCCCCAAATCTGCCCCCAAATCTACCCCAAATTCATCCCAAATTCACCCCAAATTCACCCCAAATTCACCCCAAATTCCCCCAAATTCACCCCAAAATCTGCCCCAAATTCCCCCAAATCTGCCCCAAATTCATCCCAAATTCACCCCAAATTCACCCCCAAAATCTGCCCCAAATTCACCCCAAATTAACCCCCAAAAGCCCCAAAATCTGCCCCAAATTCACCCCCAAATTCCCCAAATTCACCCCCAAAATCACCCCAAATTCACCCCAAAATCTGCCCCGAATTTGCCCCAAAATCTGCCCCAAATTCATCCCAAATTCACCCCAAATTAACCCCCAAAATCTGCCCCAAATTCCTCCAAATTCACCCCCAAAATCTGCCCCAAATTCACCCCCAAATTCACCCCAAATTCACCCCAAAATCTACCCCAAATTCGTCCTAAAATTCACCCCAAATTCACCCCCAAAACACCCAAATTCACCCCAAATTAACCCCCCCCAAAAAAACCCCAAATCTGCCCCAAATTCACCCCAAAAATCACCCCAAATTTACCTCCATCCCCCCCAAAAAAGACCCCAAATCTGCCCCAAATTCATCCCAAATTCACCCCCAAATTCACCCCAAATTCACCCCCCTAACCAGCCCAAATCTGCCCCAAAATCTGCCCCAAATTCACCCCAAATTCACCCCCAAAATCTGCCCCAAATTCGCCCCAAATTCACGCCCAAAATCTGCCCCAAATTCGTCCCGAATTCACCCCAAATTCACCCCCCCAACCCACCCAAATCTGCCCCAAAATCTGCCCAAATTCACTCCAAATCTGCCCTGAATTTGCCCAAATTCACCCCAAATTCACCCCCAACCCCAAATCTGCCCCAAAATCTGCCCCAAATTCACCCCAAATTCACCCCAAATTCACCCCCAAAATCTGCCCCAAATTCATCCCAAATTCACCCCAAATTAACCCCAAAAGACCCCCAAAGACCCTTCTGGGGTCCCCCAAAAAACCCTTTGGGACCCCAGGACCCCAGAAAACCCCAGGACCCCCAAAAAGACCCTTCTGGCACCCCAAAAACCCCCGAGACCCCCAAAAGCCCCCAGGACCCCAAAACCCCCGAGACCCCCAAAAACCCCCGGACCCCCAAAAGACCCCCAGGACCCCAAAAACCCCCGAGACCCCCAAAAAAACCCCCGCAGGACCCCTAAAAAGCCCCTGGGACCCCCAAAAGACCATTTTGGGACCCCAGGACCCCCAAAAGCCCCAGGACCCCCGAGCGCCGGCGCGAGAATCAATGAGGAGGGGCGATTTTGGAGAGTCTCAACTTTAATGGAGACCCCAGAGAGACCCCCCAAAAAACCCCCTTAGAGACCCCCAAAAACCCTCAGAGACCCCCGAGACCCCCAAAAACCCTCAGAGACCCCCAGAGTGACCCCCAAAAACCCCTCAGAGACCCCTGAGACCCCCAAAAACCCTCAGAGACCCCCAAAAAACCCCTCAGAGACCCCCAGAGTGACCCCCAAAAAAAAACCTCAGAGACCCCCTGAGATCCCCAAAAAACCCCTCAGAGACCCCAGAGTGACCCCCCAAAAAAAAACCTCAGAGACCCCAGAGACCCCAAAAACCCCTCAGAGACCCCAGAGTGACCCCCCAAAAAACCCCCTCAGAGACCCCCAAAAACCCCAAAACCCCTCAGAGACCCCCGAGACCCCAAAAACCCTCAGAGACCCCCAGAGAGACCCCCAAAAAACCCTCAGAGACCCCCAGAGACCCCCAAAAAAACCCTCAGAGACCCCCAAAAAAACCCTCAGAGACCCCCAAAAACCCCCAAAAACCCTCAGAGACCCCCGAGACCTCCCAAAAAAACCCTCAGAGACCCCCAAAAAACCCCTCAGAGACCCCCAGAGACCCCAAAAACCCTCAGAGACCCCCAAAAACTCTCCGGGACCCCCTGAGACCCCCAAAACCCCTCAGAGACCCCCTGAGACCCCCAAAAAACCCCTCAGAGACCCCCAGAGAGACCCCAAAAAACCCTCAGAGACCCCCGAGACCCCCAAAAACCCCTCAGAGACCCCCCAAAAACCCTCAGAGACCCCCGAGACCTCCCAAAAAAACCCTTCAGAGACCCCCGAGACCCCCAAAAACCCTCAGAGACCCCCAGAGACCCCCAAAACCCTCAGAGACCCCCAAAAACCCCAAAAAACCCCTCAGAGACCCCCGAGACCCCCAAAAAACCCCTCAGAGACCCCCAGAGTGACCCCCAAAAAAACCTCAGAGACCCCCGAGACCCCCAAAAGAACCCCTCAGAGACCCCCAGAGTGACCCCCCAAAAACCCCTCAGACCCCCAAAACCCCCCAAAAACCCTCAGAGACCCCCAAGACCCCAAAAAACCCTCAGAGACCCCCAAAAAAACCACTCAGAGACCCCCAGAGAGACCCCTAAAAACCCTCAGAGACCCCCTGAGACCCCAAAAAACCCCTCAGAGACCCCCGAGACCCCCAAAAACCCTCAGAGACCCCAGAGACCCCAAAAAACCCTCAGAGACCCCCTGAGACCTCCCAAAAAACCCCTCAGAGAACCCCGAGACCCCCAAAAAACCCCTCAGAGACCCCCAAAAACCCCCAAAACCCCTCCGAGACCCCAAAGACCCCTCAGAGACCCCCAAAGACCCCTCAGAGACCCCCAGAGACCCCCAAAAACCCCTCAGAGACCCCCAGAGACCCCCAAAAAACCCCTCAGAGACCCCCTGAGACCCCCAAAAAAACCCCTCAGAGACTCCCCGAGACCCCCAAAAAACCCTCAGAGACCCCCGAGACCCCAGAACCCCTCAGAGACCCCCAAAACCCTCCCCAGCACTCCCCAGACTCAATTTGAGCCCCAAATCCCCCAAAACCCCCAAAATGGGCTCAGGACGCCCCAAAGAAAGGACCCACGACCCCACCCCCAATTTGGGGTCTCCTCTCGAGATGAGACCCCAGGCACCCCCAGACTCAATTTGAGCCCCCAAAACCCTGAATTCTCCCCAAATCCCCCAAAACCCCAAAATCGCCTCAAAACCCCCGTAAGAGCTCGATACCCCCAAGAAGGACCCACGACCCCTCCCCATTTTTGGGGTCGCCTTTCACGAGATGAGACCCCAGGCACCCCCAGACTCAATTGGAGCCCTAAATACCCCGAATTCCCCCTAAACCCCCAAAATCGGCTCAGGACGCCTCCAAACAAAGGACCACGACCCCCGCCCTCCCCAATTTGGGGTCTCCCGTCAGTAGGGGTGACCCTGCGCTAGCAGCTGGCAGGTGAGACCCCGAGCACCCCAGACTCAATTGGAGCCCCAAATACCTCCCAATTCTCCCCCAAACCCCCCAGTAAGAGCTCGATACCCCCAAAGGAAGGACCCACGACCCCTCCCATTTTGGGGGTCGCCTTTCACGAGATGAGGCCCCAGGCACCCCCAGACTCAATTTGAGCCTCAAATACCCCCAAATCCCCCAAAACCCCAAAATAACCCCAAATCACCCCAATAGGCTCGATACCCCCAAAGGAAGGACCCACGACCCCCTCCCCATTTTTGGGGGTCGCCTTTCACTGAGATGAGACCCCGAAGCACCCCAGACTCAATTGGAGCCCTAAATACCCCGAATTCTCCCCAAAACCCCCAAAACCCTAAATCACCCAGTAAGAACTCGATACCCCCCCAAAGGAAGGACCCGCGCCCCCCTCCCCAATTTGGGGGTCTCCCGTCAGTAGGGGGTGACCCTGCGCTGGCAGCAGCGGCAGGTGAGACCCCGAGCACCCCAGACTCAATTGGAGCCCTAGAATATCCCCAAATCTCCCCAAAACCCCCAGTAAGAGCTCGATGCCCCCCAAACGAAGGACCCACGACCCCCTCCCCATTTTTGGGGGTCGCCTTTCACGAGATGAGACCCCAGGCACCCCAGACTCAATTGGAGCCTCAAATACCCCCAAATCCCCCAAAACCCCCAAAACCCCAATCGCCTCAAACCCCCCATAAGAGCCTGGGACGCCCCCAAACGAAGGACTCACGCCCCCTCCCCAATTTGGGGTCTCCCATCAGTGAGGGTGACCCTGCTGCAGCAGCGGCATGAGACCCCAGGCACCCCAGACTCAATTGGAGCCCCAAAACCCTGAATTCTCCCCAAAGCCCCCATAAATCGCCCGTAAGAGCTCGATGCCCCCCAAACAAAGGACCACGACCCGCCCCCTCCCCAATTTGGGGGTCTCTCCGTCAGTAGGGGGTGACCCTGCGCTGGCAGCAGCGGCAGGTGAGACCCCCGAGCACCCCCAGACTCAATTGGAGCCCCAAAACCCCTAACTAAACCCCCAATACCCCATGTAACAGCTCGATACCCCCAAAGGAAGGACCCACGACCCCCTCCCCATTTTTGGGGTCGCCTTTCACGAGATGAGACCCCCGAGCACCCCAGACTCAATTGGAGCCTCGATCCCCAAATCCCCCAAATTCCCCCAAAACCCCCAAAACCCCAAATACCCCCGTAAGAGCTCAGGATGCCCCCAAAGGAAGGACCCGCGACCCCCTCCCCAATTTGGGGGGTCTCAGGTCAGTAGGGGGTGACCCTGCGCTGGCAGCAGCGGCAGGTGAGACCCCCGAGCACCCCCAGACCCAATTTGAGCCCAGATACCCAGATTCTCCCCAAAACTCCCCAAAACCCCCAAAAAGCCCCCAAAAATCGCCCGTAAGAGCTCAGGACCCCCCAAAGGAAGGACCCGCGACCCCTCCCCATTTTTGGGGTCGCCTTTCACGAGATGAGACCCCCAGAGCACCCCCAGACTCAAATTGAGCCCTAAAACCCCTGAATTCCCCCTAAACCCCCAAAATCAGCTCAAGAGACTCGTCCCCCAAACAAAGGACCCGACCCCACGCCCCCTCCCCAATTTGGGGGGTCTCCCGTCAGTAGGGGGTGACCCTGCGCTGGCAGCAGCGGCAGGTGAGGCAGCGCAGCAGGGCCAGGCTGAGGTGGAAGGCGGGTCTCAGGTCGTAAATCATCCTGTGCAGGGTCCGCACCCCCAAATCCCCCCGGGGGTCGGCGAAGCGCAGCGCGATCAGCGGGGAGTACAGGGGGTTCGTGGGGGTCCGCAGGGGGGGGCGGGGGGCGCCGATCACCGACACGATGGCCTGGGGAGGAGGATTTAGGGGGGGGTCAGGACCCCCCGAGACCTCACAAATCCATCAGGGATCCCTCAGGGACCCCCAAAATCCATCAGGGACCCCCAAATCCATCAGGGATCCCCAGGGACCCCCAGAGACCCCCAAATCCATCAGGGACCCTCAGAGACCCCCAAAATCCCACCAGGGACCCCCAAATCCACCAGGGATCTCCAAATCCCCCAAGGACCCCTCAGAGACCCCCAAAATCGCACCGGGGATCCCCAAATCCATCAGGGACCCCCAAATCTCCCCAGGATCCACAAGGACCCCCAAAATCCCACCAGGGATCCCCAGAGACCCCCAGAGACCCCCAAATCCATCAGGGATCCCCCAGGGACCCCCAAAATCCCCCCGGGGACCCCCAAATCCATCAGGGACCCCCCAGAGACCCCCAAATCCCCCAGGGATCCCCAGAGACCCCCAGAGACCCCTCAGAGACCCCCAAATCCATCAGGGACACCCAGGGACCCCCAAATCCCCCCGGGGACCCCCAAATACACCAGGGATCTCCAGGGACCCCCAGAGACCCCCAGAGACCCCTCAGAGACCCCAAAATCTCAGTAAGGGACCCCAAAATCCCCAGAGGGTTCGTGAGAGATCAATGGGGGGGAGGGGTACAGCGGGTTCGTGGGGGGTCCTCAGAAGAGGGCAGGGGCGCCGATCACCGACACGATGGCCTGGGGGGGGTTAGGGGGGGTTTTGAGAGTCAGGACCCCTAAAATCGCACCGGGGACCCCCAAAATCCCCCAGGGGTTCGTGAGGAGATCAATGGGGAAGGGGGGGAGGGTACAGGAGGTTCGTGGGGGTCCTCAAAGAAGGGAGCAGGGGCACCGATCACTGACACGATGGCCTGGGGAGGGGTTAGGGGGGGTTTGAGGAAGTCAGGACCCTAAAATCATCACCAGGGACCCCAAAATCCCAGCAGGAAGGTGGAGGTTACAGGGACCCCAGGGACCCCCAGGGACCTCCAAAATCACCTCAAAGACCCCCAAATCCATCAGGGACCCCCAGAGACCCCCAAATCCCACAGGGATCCCCAGGGACCCCCTAAATCCCACCTGGGACCCCCAAATCCATCAGGGATCCCCCAGAGACCCCCAAATCCATCAGGGATCCCAAGGGACCCCCAGAGACCCCCAAATCCATCAGGGACCCCAAGGGACCTCCAGAGACCCCCAAATCTATCAGGGACCCCAAAAATCCCTCCGGGGACCCCCAATATCCCCCAGGGATCTCCAGGGACCCCCAAATCCCCCCGGGGACCACCAAATCCATCAGGGACCCTCAGAGACCCCCAAGAATCCCACCAGGGACCCCCAGAGACCCCCAAATCCCACAGGGATCCCCAGGGACCCCCTAAATCCCACCTGGGACCCCCAAATCCATCAGGGATCCCCAGAGACCCCCAAAATCCCCCCGGGGGTTCGTGAGAGATCAATGGGTGGGGGAGGGGTACAGAGGGTTCAGGGGTCCTCAGAGGCAGGGAGCGCCGATCACTGACACGATGGCCTGAGGGGGGTTACGGGGGGTTTGGGGGCGTCAGGACCCCGAGACCCCCAAATCCATCAGGGATCCCAGGGACCCCCAGAGACCCCCAAATGTCACCGGGGACAGGGACGGGTCACAGGGACCCCCTGAGACCCCAAGAGACCCCTCAGAGACCCCCAAATCCCCCCGGGGACCCCCAAATCCATCAGGGATCCCCAGGGACCCTCAGAGACCCCTCAGAGACCCCCAAATCCCCCCGGGGACCCCCAAATCCATCAGGGACCCCCAGAGACCCCCAGAGACCCCCAAATACATCAGGGATCCCCAGGGACCCCAAAAATCCCTCAGGGACCCCAAATTCATCAGGGACCTCCAGAGACCCCAAATCCATCAGGGATCCCCAGGGACCCCCCAAAATCCCCAGGGACCCCAAATCCCCAGGGATCTCAGGGACCCCAGGGACCCCCAAATCCCCAGGGGATCCCCAGAGACCCCAGAGACCCCAAATCCATCAGGGATCCCCAGGGACCCCAAAATCCCCAGGGACTCCCAAATCCCCAGGGATCTCCAGGGACCCCCAGGGACCCCAAATCCCCCAGGGATCCCCAGAGACCCCCAGAGACCCCCAAATCCATCAGGGATCCCCAGGGACCCCCAAAATCTCCTAGCAGGGACCCCCAAATCCATCAGGGATCCCGAGACCCCCAAAATCCACCAGACCCCCAGAAGCCCCCAGGACCCCCCAAAGCCTCCAAAGCTGCGCCCTCTCCTTGGGGGTCCTGCCGGGACGGGAGAGGGGAACTCCCCCCAGGACCCCCAAAATGACCCAAAATCACCCCAAAATGACCCAAAATCCCCCAAAATCGCCCCAAAACCCACTCGGGACCCCCTCCACACCTCGGCCACGGTGTCGGGGTCTGGCCGAGAGTGTGGAAGACGTCCCTGGACACGGGCAGATAAAACCCCTCCCCAAATCCCAACTAAACCCCAGAACTCCCTCTAAAACCCTAAAAATACCCCCAAAATGACCCAAAATCCCCCAAAATCGCCCCAAAACCCACTCAGGACCCTCCCAGAGACCCCCAACTCTTTCCAGACCCCTCCCAGAAGCCCCCAGGACCCCTCAAAGCCTCCAAAGCTGCGCCCTCTCCTCAGAGTTTCTCCCGGGACGGGAGAGGGGAACTCCCAAAACTCCCCAAACCACCCCAAAATGACCCAAAATCCCCAAAATTCCCCCAAAGCCCACTCAGTGACCCCTCCCACACCTCGGCCACGGTGTCGGGGTCTGGCCGAAAGGTGTGGAAGACGTCCCTGGACACGGGCAGATAAAACCCCCTCCCCAAATCCCAACTAAACCCCAGAGCTCCCCTAAAAAAACCCTAAAAACCCCCAAAATGACCCAAAATCCCCAAATTCCCCCCAAAAACCCACTCGGGACCGGTCCCACACCTCGGCCACGGTGTCGGGGGTCTGGCCGAAGGTGTGGAAGACGTCCCTGGACACGGGCAGATAAAACCCCCTCCCCAAATCCCAACTAAACCCCCAGAACTCCCTCTAAAAATACCCCCAAAATGACCCAAAATCCCCAAAATCGCTCCAAAACCCACTCAGGACCCCCCCAGAGACCCCCAACTCTTTCCAGACCCCTCCCAGAAGCCCCCCAGGACCCCTCAAAGCCTCCAAAGCTGCGCCCTCTCCTCAGAGTTTCTGCCAGGACAGGAGGGAACTCCCAGGACCCCCAAAATGACCCAAAAACCCCCAAAATGACCCAAAATCCCCCAAAATCGCCCCAAAACCCACTCGTGACCCCCTCCCACACCTCGGCCACGGTGTCGGGGGTCTGGCCGAAGGTGTGGAAGACGTCCCTGGACACGGGCAGATAAAACCCCCTCCCCAAATCCCAACTAAACCCCCAGAACTCCCTCTAAAAAATACCCCCAAAATGACCCAAAATCGCCCAAATTCGCCCCAAAACCCACTCGGGACCCCCCCAGAGACCCCCAACTCTTTCCAGAACCTCCACAGAAGCCCCCCAGGACCCCTCAAAGCCCCCCAGGACCCCTCAAAGCCTCCAAAGCTGCGCCCTCTCCTCAGAGTTTCTCCCGGGACAGGAGGGGGAACTCCCAAAGCCCCCAAAAACCCCCAAAATGACCCAAAATCCCCAAATTCCTTTAAAACCCACTCGTGACCCCCTCCCACACCTCGGCCACGGTGTCGAGGAAGTCTGGCCAGAAGTGTGGAAGACGTCCCTGGACACGGGCAGATAAAACCCCCTCCCCAAATCCCAACTAAAGCCCCAGAACTCCCCTAAAACCCCTAAAAACCCCCCAAAATGACCCAAAATCCCCAAAATCGCCCCAAAACCCCTCAGGACCCCTCCCACACCTCGGCCACGGTGTTCGGGGTCTGGCCAGAGTGTGGAAGACGTCCCTGGACACGGGCAGATAAAACCCCCTCCCCAAATCCCAACTAAACCCCCAGAACTCCCTCTAAAAAAAACCCCCCAAAATGACCCAAAATCGCCCAAATTCACCCCAAAACCCACTCGAGGACCCCTCCCACACCTCGGCCACGGTGTCAGGGAGTCTGGCCGAAGGTGTGGAAGACGTCCCTGGACACGGGCAGATAAAACCCCCTCCCCAAATCCCAACTAAACCCCAGAACTCCCTCTAAAAAAACCCCCAAAAAATGACCCAAAATCGCCCAGAATTCACCCCAAAGCCCTCAGGACCCCCAGAGACCCCAACTCTTTCCAGAACCTCCACAAGCCCCCAGACCCCCAAGAAGCCCCCAGGACCCCTCAAAGCCTCCAAGCTCGCCTCTCCTCAGAGTTTCTCCCGGGACGGTGAGAGGGAACTCCCAAAGCCCCCAAAAACCCCCAAAATGACCCAAAATCCCCAAATTCGCCCCAAAACCCACTCGTGACCGGTCCCACACCTCGGCCACGGTGTCGGGGGTCTGTCCGAAGGTGTGGAAGACGTCCCTGGACACGGGCAGGTAAATGTCCCTGAAGTGCCGCAGGGTCTCGGGGTCCGCCCCGGGGAACTCGGACGTGGCCACCTCGTCCAGAACCTTCCGCTCGAACTCCGTGTGCACCGGGCCCGGCTCCACCAGCGACACGCTGGGATTTGGGGGAAATTGGGGGATTTTGGGGTTTTGGGGAAAAATTGGGGTTTTAGGGGTGTTTTGGGGTTTTTGGGAGTGTTTGGGGAGTTTTAGGAGTCATTTAGGGGGTTTCTGGGAGTGTTTTTAGGGCTCTTCTCAGGGGGTTGTGGTGACTCCGTGTGCACCGGGCCGAGCTCCTGCGACACGCTGGGATTTGGGAAATTGGGGGTTTTGGGATTTTGGGAAGTGTTTGGGGTGTTTTGAGGTTTTTGGGGTTTTGCGGTTTTGGGGGTTTGGGGGTTTTGAGGTGTTTTGGGGTGTTTTGGGTTGGGTTTGGGTTGGGTTTGAGGGTGGGTTGTGGTGACTCCGTGTGCACCGGGCACGCTCCACCAGGAACGCTGAGATTTGGGGGGAAAATTGGGGATTCTGGGATTTTTGAGATTTTGGGAGATTTGAGGATTTGAGGGTGTTTGGAGTTTTGGGGGGTTTTGGGAGTGGGTTTGGGGAGTTTCGGGGGTGTTTTTGGGGGTGTTTTCTCTTCTTGGGTTGGGTTTGGGGTGGGTTTGGGAGGGGTTTGGGGAGTTTTGGGGGAGTTTGGGGGGTTTTGGGGGTTTTTGGGGGTGTTTTTGGGGATTTTGGGGTTTTGGGGAGTTTTGGGTTTTTGGGGTTTTTGTTTGGTTCTTTTTGGGGTGATTTTGGGGTGGTTTGGGGCTCTTCTTGGGTGTGTTTGGGGTGGGTTGTGGTGACTCCGTGTGCACCGGGCCGGCTCACCAGGGAACACTGGGATTTGGGGAAAATTGGGGGTTTTGGGGGTTTGGGATTTTGGGGTTTTGGGAGTCATTTAGGGGATTGGGGTCATTTAGGGGGGGTTTTGGGGGGTTTTTAGGGCTGCTTCTCGGGGTGGGTTGTGGTGACTCCGTGTGCACCGGGCCCGGCTCCACCAGGGACACGCTGGGATTTGGGGGAAAATTGGGCATTTTTGGGATTTTGGGGGATTTTGGGTGTTTTTGGGGTGTTTAGGGGTTCTTTTGGGGTGGTTTAGGGCTTTTGGGTGGTTTGGAGAGTCTTTGGGGCTTTTTGGGGTGGTTTGGGGTTCTTTCTGGGGTGGGTTTGGGGAGTTTCAGGGGGAGTTTGGGGTTTTTTTGGGGGATTTTGGGTTTTTTTGGGGGTGTTTTTGGGGATTTTGGGGTTTTTTTGGGATTTTGGGATGGTTTTGGGATGTTTTTGGGGGTTTGGGGTCATTTAGGGGAGTGTTTTGGGGTGTTTGTCTCTTCTTGGGTTGGGTTTGGGGTGTGTTTGGGGTGTGTTTGGGGTGTGTTGTGGTGACTCCGTGTGCACCGGGCCCGGCTCCACCAGTGAGCCGCTGGGAAATTTGGGGGAAATTTGGGGGTTTTTGGGATTTTGGGGAAATTTGGGGTATTTAGGGGTGTTTTGGGGGTTTTGGGGTTTTGGGGGTGGGTTTAGGGGAGTTTCAGGGGTTTTTTGGGGTGGTTTGGGGCTCTTCTTGGGGGGTTTGAGGGGGAGTTGGGGGTGTTTTTGGGGTGTTTTTGGGGGTATTTTTGGGGGGTTTTTTGGGGTATTTTTGAGGTGTTTGGGGGGTGATTTTTGGGGTGTTTTTGGGGTGATTTTGGGGTGGTTTTGGGGGTGTTTTTGGGGTGTTTTTGGGGTATTTTTTGGGGTGGTTTTGGGGTATTTTTGGCGGTGTTTTTGGGGTATTTTTGAGGTGTTTTGGGGGTGTTTTTGAGGTGATTTTGGGATATTTTTGGGGGTGTTTTTGGGGCGATTTTGGGGTATTTTTTGGTGTGATTTTGGTGTATTTTTGGGGTGTTTTTGGGGTGATTTTGAGGTTTTTTTTGGGGCGATTTTGGGGGGTTTTTTGGGGTATTTTTGAGGTGTTTTAGGGGGTGTTTTAGGGGTGGTTTAGGGGGTGTTTTAGGAGTATTTTTGGGGTGTTTTTGGGGTGTTTTTGGGGTGTTTTTGGGGTGTTTTGGGGTTCAACACACACAAGATGTTGAACTGCAGCAGCTGCACCGCCAGGCTCTCACAAAGCCCCTCCACAGCGAACTTGGAGGCCGAGTAGATGTCGTTGAAAGCCACCCCTGAGGGCCCCGAAAATTTGGGAGGGTCCCCAAGATTGGGGGGGTCAGGGGGTCCAAAACCCCCAAATTGGGTGGTTGGGAGGGTTGGGGGGCTTGGGGAGGGTCTGAACCCCCCAAATTGAGGGGCTGGGAGGGGTTTGGGGGTTTAAAAATCACCCTGAGAGGAACCCCGAAAATTTGGGGAGTCCCCAAAATTTGAGGGGGTCAGGGGTCAGAAACCCCCAAAATTAGGGGGGTTGGGAGGGTTGGGGGGGGAGACTCGGAAGAGGGCTCTGGGGGTCATTCCTGGGGATGGGAGGGGAAAAATCATCCCCTGGGGGTCCCCGAAATTTGGGGGTCCCCAAGAATTTGGGGGGTCAGGGGGTCGAAACCCCCAAAAGGTGGGGGTTGGGAGGGGTTGGGGGGCTCTGAAAGGAGCTCTAGGGGTTGTTCCTGGGGATGGGGGTTAAAAGACCACCCCTGGGAGTCCCCGAAAATTTAGGGAGTCCCCAAAATTTAGAGGGTCAAAACCCCAAAAATTGAGAGGGTTGGGAGGGGGTTGGGGGCTTGGGGAGGGTCTGAGATCCCCCAAATTGAGGGACTGGGAGGGGTTTGGGGGGTTAGAAATCACCCCTGGGGGTCCCCAAAAATTTGGGGGTCCCCAAAATTTGAGAGGTCAGGGGGTCAAAACCCCCAAAAATTAGGGGGTTGGGAGGGGTTGGGGGCTTGGGGAGGGGTCTGGGGGAGTTTCTGGGGGGTCATTCCTGGGGCTTGGGGGCTTAAAAGCCATCCCTGGGAGGCCCCGAGGTCTAGGGAGTCTCCAAAATTTAGGGGGTCAGGGAGTCCAAAACCCTAAAAATTGGGGGTTGGGAGGGATTGGGGGAGCTCGGAAAGGGCTCTGGGGGTCGTTCCTGGGACTGGGGGGCTTAAAAATCATCCTAGGGGGTCCCCAAAATTTGGGGGTCCCCAAAATTTGAGGGTCCCCAAAATTTGAGGGGGTCAGAGGGTCCAGAACTCCCAAAATTGGGGGAGTTGGGAGGGGTTAGGGGGGCTCTGAAGGGCTCTGGGGTCATTCCTGGGGATCGGGGGGGCTTAAAAATCATCCCTGGGGGTCCCCAAAAATTTGGGGGTCCCCAAAATTTGGGAGTCCCCAAAATTTGAGAGGTCAGAGGTCAGAAACCCCAAAAGTGGGGCGTTGGGAGGGTTGGGGGGGCTTAGGGAGGGGTCTGAACCCCCAAATTGAGGGAGCTGGGAGGGTTTGGGGGTTTAAAAATCACCCAGGGAGGGCCCGAAAATTTGGGGGTCCCCAAAATTTGGAGAGGGTCGGGGGTCCAGAACCCCAAAAATTGAGGTACTAGGAGGGGGTTCCTGGGGAAATTTGGGGGTCCCAGGGGAGTTGGGGGTCCCTGAGGAGGATTTGGGGGTCCGCGAGGGGTCTGGGGAGGGGAGGAGATTTGGGGGGTCCTGAAGGATTTGGGGGTCCCTGAAGGATTTAAGGGGTCGAGGGGGGTCAGGGAGGAGGAGGGAGTTGGGGGTCCCTGAGAAGATTTGGGGGGTCCCAGGGGGTTCAGTGACCCCAGGGTTGATTTGAGGGTGTTTTGGGGGTCCCAAGGAGGGTTCTGGGAGGGAATTTGGGGGTCCCAGGGAGGGTTCAGTGACCCCAGGGTTGATTTAGGGGTCCCAGGGTTGGTTGGGGGTCACGGGAGGGTTCAGTGACCCCAGGAGTTGATTTGGGGTCCCAGGGTTGGTTTGGGGTCCCAGGGGAGATTTTAGGGGATCCCAAAGGGAGGATTTTGGGGTTCCCCCTCACCTGTGGAGCCCCTGGGAAGATTGGGAGGTCCCTGGGAGGAGATTTGGGGGGTCCCGGGGGGTTTGAGGGTCCCAGGGGTTTTCAATGATCAGGGTTGATTTGGGGGTCCCAGGGGTTGATTTGGGGGTCCCAGGGTTGATTCAGTGACCCCAGGGTTGATTTGGGGGTCCCGAGGAGGATTTTGGGGATCCCAAGGAGGATTTTGGGGTTCCCCCTCACCGTGGAGCCCCTGGGAAGATTGGGGGTGACTCGGGGGGTCCTGGGTTGATTTGGGGTTCAGTGACCCTGGGAGGTTGATTTGGGGGTCCCAGGGTTGGTTTGGGGGTCCAGGGTTGGTTTGGGGGTCCCAGGGGGGATTTTGGGGATCCCAAGGAGGATTTTGGGGTCCCCCTCACCGTGGAGCCCCTGGGAGACGATGGGGGTCTCTGGGTCAGTCAGGGGTCCCTGGGAGGATTTGGGGTTCAGTGACCCCAGGATTGATTTGGGGGTCAGGGTTGATTTGGGGTCCCGGGGAGGATTTTAGGGGATCCCAAGGAGGATTTTTGGGGGTTCCCCCTCACCGTCAGAGCCCCATGACACTGCTGACCACCACCATGTGATGGGGGGAGGTTGGGGGTCCCAGGGTTGATTTGGGGGTCCCGGGGGGGTATTTTGGGGTCCCGGGGGGGGATTTTGGGGTCCCGAGGGTGGGGATTTTGGGGTTCCCCCTCACCGTGGAGCCCCTGGGAAGATTGGGGGTGTCTGGGAGGATTTGGGGGTTCAGTGACCCCAGGGTTGATTTGGGGGTCCCGGGGTTGATTCAGTGACCCCAGGGGCGTTTCGGGGGTCCCGAGGACGGGGATTTTGGGGTTCCCCCTCAACCTGGAGCCCCTGGGAAGATTGGGGGTGACTCGGGGGGTCCTGGGTTGATTTGGGGGTCCCGGGGGGTTTCAATGATCCTGGGGTTGATTCAGTGACCCCAGGGGGGTATTTTGGGGTCCCGAGGGCGGGGATTTTGGGGTTCCCCCTCACCGTGGAGCCCCCTGACGCTGCTGACCACCACCATGTGATGGGGGGGGAGTTGGGGGTCCCGGGGGGTTTCAGTGACCCCGGAGGTTGGTTTGGGGGTCCCGGGGGGGTATTTTGGGGATCCCAAGAAGGATTTTGGGGGTTCCCCCTCACCCTGGAGCCCCTGGGAAGATTGGGGGTCCCTGGGAGGATTTGGGGGTTCAGTGACCCCAGGGGGGTTTCAATGATCCCGGGGTTGGTCTGGGGGTCCCGGGGGGGGATTTTGGGGTCCTGAGGGTGGGATTTTTGGGGTCCCCCCTCACCGTGGAGCCCCATGACGCTGCTGACCACCACGATGTGGCCGCTGCGGCGCTGTTTCATCTGCGGCAGCAGCGCCCGGATGAGGCGCAGCACCCCGAACACGTTGGTGTCGAACACGCGCTGCACCTGCGGGGGCGTGGCCGCCTCCAGAGGGCCCACCAGCCCCACCCGGCGTTGTTCACTGAGAGGGGACAGGGGGTCAGGAGACCCCAAAAAACCCCAAAAAACTCAGCAGAACCAGCCCAGAATCCCAAAAAAATCCCCTCTCAAAATTCCCCCAAAATTCGATGAAACCACCCCAAAAAACCCCTCTCCAAATCCCCAAAATTCGAGTGAAACCACCCCAAAATCCCCCAGCCCCACCCCGGCGTTGTTCACTGGGGGGGGACAGGAGGTCAGGGGACCCCAAAAACCGAATCCCCAAAAACTCAGCAGAACCAGTCCAGAATCCCAAAAAATCCCCCCAAATTCAGATTAAACCACCCCAAAAATCCCCCAGCCCCACCCCGGCGTTGTTCACTGAGGGGGCACGAGAGAGAGTCAGAGACCCAAAAACCCCGAATCCCCCCCAAAAAACTCAGCGAAAGCAGCCCAGAATCCCAAAAAAATCCCCTTTCTAAATTCACCGAAATCCCCCCAAAATCTGCTGAAACCACCCCAGAAATCATTCACCAGCCCCACCCCGGCGTTGTTCACTGAGGGGGGGGCACGGGGGGGGTCAGGAGACCCCAAAAAACCCCAAAAAACTCAGCAGAACCAGCCCAGAATCCCAAAAAATCCCTCTCCCAAATCCCCCAAAATTCGATGAAATCCACCCCAAAAATCATTCCTGGCCCCACCCCGGCGTTGTTCACTGAGGGAGGGCACGAGAGGTCAGGGGATCCCAAAAAACCCCAAAAAACCCAAAAAACTCAGCTAGAACCAGCCCAAGAATCCTCCAAAATCCCCATAAAAATCCCCCAAAATTCGAGTGAAACCACCGCAAAAATCCCCATAAAAATCCCCCAAATTCGGTGAAACCACCCCAAAAATCCCCTCTCCAAATCCCCCAAAATTCGGTTAAACCACCCCAAAAACCCCTCTCAAATCCCCCCAAAATTCGATGAAATCCACCCCAAAAATCATTCACCAGCCCCACCCCGGCGTTGTTCACTGAGGGGGCACAGAGGAGTCAGGGGACCCAAAAACCCGAATCCCCCCAAAAAACTCAGCAGAACCAGCCCAGAATCCTCCAAAAATCCCCTTTCTAAATCCACTGAGATTTCTCCCAAAAATCGCCCCCCAGCCCCACCCCGGCGTTGTTCACTGAGGGGGCACAGAGAGAGTCAGAGGACCCAAAAACCCCAAATCCCCCAAAAACTCAGCGAAACCAGCCCAGAATCCTCTCAAAATCCCCTTTCCAAATCCACTGAAATTCCCCCAAAATCTGCTGAAACCACCCCAAAAATCATTTACCAGCCCCACCCCGGCGTTGTTCACTGAGGGGGGCCACGGGGGGGGTCAGGGGACCCCAAAACACCCCAAAAAACTCAACAGAACCAGCCCAGAATCCCAAAATATCCCCCCCAAAAATCATCCTTTTAGGGTTCTGGGACCCCCCTCCTCAAAATCCCCCAGCCCCACCCCGGCGTTGTTCACTGAGGGGCACGAGAGGTCAGGGGACCCCAAAAAAACCCAAAAAACCCCAAAAAAACTCAGCAGAACCAGCCCAGAATCCTCCAAAAATCCCCTTTCTAAATCCACTGAAATTCCCCCAAAAATCCCCCCCAGCCCCACCCCGGCGTTGTTCACTGAGGGGGCGCACGAGGAGTCAGAGGACCCAAAAACCTCCAAAAACTCAGCAGAACCAGCCCAGAATCCTCCAAAAATCCCCCATAAAAATTCCCCCAAAATTCGATGAAACCACCCCAAAAATCCCCTCTCAAAATCCCCCCAAAATTCGATGAAACCACCCCAAAAAACCCCTCTCCAAATCCCCCAAAATTCGATGAAACCACCCCAAAAATCCCCCAGCCCCACCCCGGCGTTGTTCACTGAGGGGGCACGAGAGAGGTCAGGAGACCCAAAAACCCCAAATCCCCCAAAACTCAGCGAAACCAGCCCAGAATCCTCCAAAAATTCGATTAAATCCCCCCCAAAATTCGATGAAACCACCCCAAAAATCCCCCAGCCCCACCCCGGCGTTGTTCACTGAGGGGGCACAGAGAAGTCAGGAAACCCAAAAACCCCAAATCCCCCAAAAACTCAACGAAACCAGCCCAGAATCCCAAAAATCCCCTTTCTAAATCCCCAAAATCCCCCTTGAAATCCCCCAAAATTCGGTGAAACCCCCAAAAATCAACCCCCTCCCCCTCTCACCCAGGACGTCCACGCCCCCAGGACCCCCAGGCACTGGGACCCCCAAAACCTCCCAAAACCCCTTCCTTGGACCACGCCCCCAAAATCCCCCGGACCCCTCCCCACTCACCCAGGACATCCACGCCCCCAGGACCCCCAGGCACTGGGACCCCCAAACCCTCCCCAAACCCCCCGTGACCTGGGTGGGGTCTCAGAAACCTCCTCCACTCACCCAGGACGTCCACGCGCCCCCAGGACCCCAGGCACTAGGACCCCCAAACCCTCCCCAAATCCCCTCTCCCCACTCACCCAGGACGTCCACGCTTCCCAGGACCCCAGGCACTGGGACCCCAAACCCTCCCCAAAATCCCTCCCCACTCACCCAGGACGTCCACGACCCCAGGACCCCAGGCACTGGGAGGGGTCTCAGGACCCCAAAACCTCCCCAAACCACCCCGTGACCTGAGTGGGGGTCTCAGAGCCCCTCCCACTCACCCAGGATGTCCACGCCCCCAGGACCCCCAGGCACTGGGACCCCCAAACCCTCCCCAAAAACCCCCGTGACCTGGTGGGGTCTCAGAACCCCCTCCCACTCACCCAGGACGTCCACGCCCCCAGGACCCCCAGGCACTGGGACCCCCAAACCCTCCCCAAAATCCCCTCCCCCACTCACCCAGGACGTCCACGCGCCCCAGGACCCCCAGGCACTAGGACCCCAAAACCCCGTGACCTGGGTGGGGTCTCAAAACCCCTCCCCACTCACCCAGGACGTCCAGCGCCCCCAGGACCCCCAGGCACTCGGCCACGGAGCTGTCGCTGGTGACGTCGAGCCGGAGGATCCTGAGGGTCACCCCGAGGGTCTCCCCGGCCGCCTCCTCCAGGGGACCCCTCCGGGACAGGTCCCGCATCGTGGCCACCACTGGGGGACCCCAAAATGTGTCAGGGACCCCCCAAAATTCATCAGGGACCCCAGGACAGGTCCACATCGTGGCCACCACTGGAGACCCCCAAAATGTGTGAGAGACCCCACCAAAACTCCCCGGGACTCCCCAAAACCCCCCCGGGACAGGTCCCGCATCGTGGCCACCACTGGGGGACCCCAAAATCCATCAGGGACCCCCCCAAAATTCATCACAGACCCCCCCGGGACAGGTCCCGCATCGTGGCCACCACTGGAGACCCCCAAAATCCGTCAGGGACCCCCCAAAATATGAGAGAGACCCCCCCAAAATATGAGAGAGACCCCAAAAACCCCCGGGACAGGTCCGCATCGTAGTCACCACTGGGGACCCCAAAATCCATCAGGGACCCCCCCAAAATCCATCAGGGACCCCCAAAATATGAGAGAGACCCCCAAAACCCCGGGACAGGTCCCACATCGTAGCCACCACTGGAGACCCCAAAATCCGTCAGGGACCCCAAAATATGAGAGAGACCCCCAAAAACCCCAGGACAGGTCCGCATCGTGGCCACCACTGGGGACCCCAAAATCCATCAGGGACCCCCCAAAAACCTCCCGGGACCCCCCAAAATCCATCAGGGACCCCCCCGGGACAGGTCCCGCATCGTGGCCACCACTGCGGACCCCCAAAATCCATCAGGGACCCCCCAAAATATGAGAGAGACCCCCCAAAAACCCCCCGGGACAGGTCCCGCATCGTGGCCACCACTGGAGACCCCCAAAATCCGTCAGAGACCCTCCAAAATCCATCACAGACCCCCCAAAATCCATCAGGGACCCCCCAAAAAACCCCCCGGGACAGGTCCCGCATCGTGGCCACCACTGGGGGACCCCAAAATGTGTCAGGGACCCCCCAAAATCCATCACAGACCCCCAAAATCCATCAGGACCCCCAAAATCCATCAGGGGAGGAGGTTTGGGGGTCCGGAATATTCAGGGTCTCCCCCTCACTCACCCTGGTACCGTTTTTGGGGGTCCCTGGATGGGAAGGGAAGGTTTGGGGGTCCCTGAGGTGGGGAGGGGAAGGTTTGGGGGTCCCGGGTGGGGAGGGGAAGGTTTGGGGTCCCAGGGTGGGGAGGGGAAGGTTTGAGGGGTCCCGTGTGACCTCTGGCAGGAGCAGATTTCGGGGGTGAATTTTAGGGGTCCAGGGTTATTTGGGGTCTCCCCCTCACTCACCCTGGTACCGTTTTGGGGGTCCCAGGGTTATTTTGGGGTCTCCCCCTCCTCACCCTGGTACCGTTTTGGGGGTCCCAGGGTTGTTTTGAGGTCTCCCCCTCACTCACCCTGGTACCGTTTTTGGGGTCTCTCGCGAGCCAGGGTGAATTTTGGGGGGTCCCGGGGTAATTTGGGGTCTCCCCCTCACTCACCCTGGTACCGTTTTGGGGGTCCCAGGGTTATTTTGGGGGTCCCAGGGTTATTTTGGGGTCTCCCTCCCTCACTCACCCCTGGTACCGTTTTTGGGGGTCCCAGGGTGGGAAGGGAAGGTTTGGGGGTCCCTGGATGGGAAGGGGAAGGTTTGGGGGTCCCTGGGTGGGGAGGGGAAGGTTTGGGGGTCCCGTGTGACCCCTGGCAGGGCAGATTTCGGGGGGTGAATTTTTTGGGGGTCCAGGAGTCAGTTTTGGGGTCTCCCCCCCCTCACTCACCCTGGTACCGTTTTTGGGGGTCCCTCGCGAGCCGGGGGGAATTTTTGGGGGGTCCCGGGGTTATTTTGGGGTCTCCCCTCACTCACCCTGGTACCGTTTTTGGGGTCCCTCGCGAGCCAGGGTGAATTTTTGGGGTCCCAGGGTTGTTGGGGTCTCCCCTCACTCACCCTGGTACCGTTTTTGGGGTCCAGGGGTTGTTTGAGGTCTCCCCCTCACTCACCCTGGTACCGTTTTTGGGGGTCCTTGGATGGGAAGGGGAAGGTTTGGGGGTCCCGTGTGACCCCTGGCAGGGCAGATTTCGGGGAGGGAATTTTGGGGTCCCGGGGTTAATTTGGGGTCTCCCCCCCCCCTCACTCACCCTGGTGCCGTTTTTGGGGGTCCCGGGGTTATTTTGGGGTCTCCCTCCCCAACTCACCCTGGTACCGTTTTTGGGGTCTCTCGCGAGCCGGGGAATTTTTGGGGTCCCAGGGTTGTTTGGGGTCTCCCCCTCACTCACCCTGGTACCGTTTTGGGGTCCCGGGGTTATTTTAGGGTCTCCCCCTCACTCACCCTGGTACCGTTTTGGGGTCCCTCGCGAGCCAGGGTGAATTTTTTGGGGGTCCCGGGGTTGTTTTGGGGTCTCCCCCCCCTCACTCACCCTGGTACCGTTTTTGGGGGTCCCGGGGTGGGAAGGGGAAGGTTTGGGGGTCCCTGGCAGAGCCAGGAGTGAATTTTTGGGGGTCCCAGGGTTGTTTTGGGGTCTCCCTCCCCTCACTCACCCTGGTACCGTTTTTGGGGTCCCGGGGTGGGAAGGAGAAGGTTTGGGAGTCCCTGGATGGGAAGGGGAAGGTTTGGGGTCCCGGGGTGGGGAAGGGGAAGGTTTGGGGGTCCCGTGTGACCTGGCAGGGCAGATTTCGGGGGTGAATTTTGGGGGTCCTAGGGTTATTTTGGGTCTCCCCCTCACTCACCCTGGTACCGCTTTTGGGGGTCGATGGGAAGGGGAAGGTTTGGGGTCCCGGGGTGGGGAGGGAAGGTTTGGGGGTCCCGGGGAGGGGAGGGGAAGGTTTGGGGTCCCTGGCGAGCCGGGGAATTTTTGGGGGTCCCGGGGGTAGTTTTGGGGTCTCCCCCAGACTCACCCTGGTACCGTTTTGGGGTCCCGGGGTGGGGAGGGGAAGGTTTGGGGTCCGTGTGACCCCTCCCAGGGCAGATTTCGGGGGTGTGAATTTTTGGGGGTCTCCCCTCCACTCACCCTGGTACCGTTTTTGGGGGTCCGGGGTTATTTTGGAGTCTCTCCCCTCACTCACCCTGGTACCGTTCTTGGGGGTCCCTGGATGGGAAGGGGAAGGTTTGGGGGTCCCGTGTGACCCCTGGCAGGGCAGATTTCGGGGGGGGGTGAATTTTTGGGGTCTCCCCCTCACTCACCCTGGTACCGTTTTTGGGGTCCCTCTCGAGCCGCCGGCCACAGCCAGGCCGATGCCGGAGGAGCAGCCGGTGACGAGAACCGTCCGGGCCGGGGGCCGCCATGGCTGAGCCCCCTCCCCCTGCCCCAAATCCCCCCCGGCCCCAAATCCCCCAAATCCCCCAAATCCTTTTAACCCCCCATTCCAAAGGTTCTTATGGGATCAGCGCAGCTCACGTGGAAAGGGATCAGAGTGGGGGGAGGAAAGGTCACGGGGGGCATCTTGGGGGAGGGGCGAAGGTTTGGGGACCCCCGGATCTGTCAGGGGGTCCCGGAGGGTCGCCCCCCTTTGGGGACCCCAAACCTTCCTCGTCTCTGTCCCCGTCAATTTGGGGACCTCAGAATTCCCCTTTTACCTGCCCAGAGTGGGGGGTCACGGGGGCACCTGAGGGGGTCCCAGATTTGGGGACCCCCGGATCTGTCAGGGGGTCCCAGAGGGTCACTCCCCCTTTTTGGGGACCCCAAACCTTCCCTGTCCCCGTCCAGGGGATTTGGGGACCCAAAACTCCCCCTCACCCGGGACACGCGGGGGGCACCTTGGGGGCAGAGAGTTTGGGACCCCCGGATCTGTCAGGGGGTCCCAGAGGGGTCGCCCCCTTTTGGGGACCCCAAACCTTCCCTATCCCCGTCCAGGGGATTCGAGGACCCCCTCACCTGGGACACGCGGGGGCACCTTGAGGGGGCGAAGCTTTGGGGACCCCCGGATCTGTCAGGGGGTCCCAGAGGGGTCGCCCCCTTTTTGGGGACCCCAAACCTTCCCCCCTCTTTCCAGGGGGATTTGGGGACCCCTTTCACCTGCCCAGAGTGGGGGGTCACGGGGAGCACCTGGGGGGGTCGCAGATTTGGGGACCCCGGATCTGTCAGGGGGTCCCGGAGAGGTCGCCCCCTCTTTTGGGGACCCCAAACCTTCCCTATCCCCGTCCAGGGGGATTTGAGGACCCCCTCACACAGGACACGCGGGGGGCACCTTGAGGGGGTCGCAGATTTGGGGACCCCCGGATCTGTCAGGGGGTCCCAGAGGGTCACTCCCCCTTTTTGGGGACCCCAAACCTTCCCCGTCCCGTTCAGGGGATTTGGGGACCCCAAAACTCCCTTCACCTGCCCAGAGTGGGGGGTCACGGGGGGGCATCTTGGGAGGGTCGCAGATTTGGGGACCCCGGATCTGTCAGGGGGTCCCAGAGGTCGCCCCTTTTTGAGGTCTTTGAGGGTTTTTTAGGGGGTCCCAGAGTTTTTGGGGGGTCCTGGGTGGGTTTTGGGGGAGGTCCCAAAGGGTTTTTTTGGGAGGTCTTTTGGGGTCCCAAAGGGTATTTTGGGGGTCCCGAAAGGGTTTTTGGGGGGTTTTGGGGGTATTTTGGGGGTCTCGGGGGGTCTTTGGGGGGTCCCAAAGGGGTTTTGGGGGTCTTTTGGGGGTCTCAGGTGAGTTTTTAGGGGGTCCCAAGAACGATCTCGGGGAGTCTTTTGGGGGTCTTTTGGGGTCTTTTGGGGGTTCTCGGGAGTCTTTTGGGGGTCTTGGGAGGATCTTTTTGGGGTCTCAGGGGGTCTTTTGGGGGTTCCAGAAGGGTCTTTTGGGGGTCCCAAAAGGTTTTAGGGTTTTGGGAGTATTTTTGGGGTCTTTTTGGGGTATTTTGGGGGTCTCAGGAGGATCTTTTGGGGGTCCCAAAAGGTTTTGGGAGGTCCAAAAGGGGTTTTTGGGGTCTTTTGGGGGTCCCAGAAGGGTCTTTTGGGGGTCCCAGAAGGGTTTTGGGGGTTTGGGGGTATTTTTGGGGTCTCAGGGGGTCTTTTGGGGGTCTTGGGAGGATCTTTTGGGGGTCTTTTTGGGGTCTTTTTGGGGTCTCAGGGGGTCTTTTCAGGGTCTCAGAGGGTCTTTTGGGGGGTGTTTGGGGGTATTTTGGGGTCTCAGGAGGTTCTTTTGGGGGTCTTTTTGGGGTATTTTAGGGGGTCCAGGGGTCTTTTTGGGGGTCCCAAAGGGGTTTTTGGGGGTTTGGGGAGTATTTTGGGGGGTCTCAGGGGGTCTTTTGGGGTTGTTTTTTTTTGGGGGAGTCGGAACCAAAAGCGAGGCGGAACTTTCCGGGCCGGGAGGGCGGAGCCCAGAGCGGCCAGAAGTGACCTCCAACCCGAAGTGACAGCGCCCACGTGGCCGAGATGGGGCGGCCCAGGAAGGTCAGGGGTGAAAAAATGGGAGCAAAAAGGGCAAAAAGGGCAAAAAGGGGAAAAAGGGAAAAAGGGGTGGGGAGAGGGGGGGAGAGGCCGGGAGTAGCGGGGAATGGGGGGAGGGGGGGAAGGGGGTGGGGCGGAATTGGGTGAAAATCAGGCGAAATTGGGCAAAATTTGGGCAAAATTTGGGCAAAAATGGGGAATTTGGGGGGATTTGGGGTGGGGGAGGAGGGGGAGTGGAGAGGTAGAGGGGAAATTGAGGAAATTTGGGGAAAAAATCGGGAAATTTGGGAAGAATCGGGAAATTTGGGAAGAATCGGAAAATTTGGGAAAAAATGGAGGAATTTTGGGTAAATTTGGGGGAATTTTGGACAAAAATGGGGATTTTGGGGGGATTTGGGATGGAAATGGGGGGTGGGGAGGGGAGAGAGGAGGGGAGGGGGAATTTGGAGGTATTTTGGGAAAAATCGGAAATTTGGGAAGAATCGGGAAATTTGGGAAGAATCGGGAAATTTGGGAAGAATCGGAAAATTTGGGGAAAAATGGAGGAATTTTGGGGTAAATTGTGGGAATTTTGGGCAAAAATGGGGAATTTTGGGGGATTTGGGGTGGAAATGGGGGTGGGGGGAGGGTGAGAGGAGGGGAGGGGAAATTGGGAAATGGGGAAATTTGGGAAAAATGGGAATTTTGAGGCAAAATGGAGGAATTTTAGGGAAAAACGGGAAATTTGGGGGAAAAGTCGGGAAATTTGGGGAAAAATGGGGAATTTTTGGGGAAAAATGGGGATTTTTGGGGATTTGGGATGGATTTGGGGTGGAAATGGGGGTGAGGGGAGGGGAGAGGAGGGGGAGGGGGAAAATTGGGGGGAAATGGAGGAAAATTGGGAAAAAATCAGGAATTTTGAGGAAAAATGGGGGAATTCTGGGGAAAAATGGAGGAATTTGGGGAAAAATGGAGGAATTTTGGGCAAAAATGGAGGAATTTTGGGGAAAAATGGAGGAAATTTGGGGGGATTTGGGGAATTTTGGGGGGAAATGGGCGTGGGGTGGGGATTTGTCCCCAAATTTGGGGGTTCCAGGGAGTAAAATGGGGGATTTGGGGCCCGAATGAACCAAAAATGGGGATTTTTAGGGGTTAAAAAATGGGATTTGGGGCCCGAAAGTCCCAAAAATTGGGATTTCCAACCCTTTTGGGGGTAAAAAAGTGGGATTTGGGGCCCGAAGGAACCAAAAATGGGGATTTTTAGGAGTAAAAAGTGATATTTTAGTCCTGATTATCCCCAAATTTGGGGTTTTCCAGGGGGGAAAAAAAATGGGATTTGGGTCCCGATCCTCTCAAAATTCAGGATTTCTGACCCTTTTGGGGTCCAAAAAAGGGGGTTTTTGGGTCCCGATTGCTCCAAAAATCGGGATTTTTAGGGGAAAAACCTGGGATTTGGGTCCAAATCACTCCAAAAATGGGGATTTTTAGGGATTAAAAAATGGGATTTCGGTGCTGAATGTTGCAAAATTCAGGATTTTTGTCCCTTCTGGGTTCAAAAAAAGTGGGATTTGGGTTCCGATTGCTCCAAAAATCGGGATTTTTGGGGGAAAAACCTGGGATTTAGGTCCAAATCATTCAAAAAATGGCAATTTTGGGGTTAAAAAATGCGATTTTCCTGTTTTTCTCCCTAAATTTTGGGTTTTTTACGTCCCCAGAGCCGCCTGCAGCGCCGGGCCCGCGCCCTGGCCCGGGAGCGAGCGGAGCGGGAATTCGGGAGCGCCCCCCAAATCAAACCCTGGGGACCAAAATTTGGGTCCAATTATGCCAAAAATTGGGATTTTGGGGGTTAAAAAAGGGGATTTTTAATCCTGATAGAGCCCAAATTTGGGGTTTCCAGGGGGAAAAAAATGGGATTTGGGTCCCGAGCCTCCCAAAATTCGGGATTTTGGGGTCAAAAAAAGGGGGATTGGAGTCCTGATTGTCCCAAAATCCAGGATTTTCATCCCTTTTGGGGTCCAGAAAAATGGGATTTGGGTCCCAATCGTCCCAAAATTGAAGATTTCTGTCCCTTTTGAGGTCCAAAAAAATGGGATTTGGGCCCCAATCCTCTCAAAATTCAGGATTTCCGACCCTTTTGGGGTCCAAAAAAATGGGATTTGGGTCCTGAATGTCCCCAGAAATTGTGGTTTCGAGCCCTTTTGGGGTCAAAAAAAGTGGGATTTGGGTCCCGATTGCTCCAAAATTCGGGATTTTGGGGTCAAAAAAAGGGGGATTGGGGTCCCGATTGCCCCAAAAATTGGGATTTCCAGCCCTTTTGGGGTCCAAAAAAATGGGATTTGGGTCCCAATCCTCCCAAAAATTGGGATTTCTGTCCCTTTTGAGGTCCAAAAAAATGGGATTTGGGTCCCAATCGTCCCAAAATTCAGGATTTCCAACCCTTTTGAGGTCCAAAAAAATGGGATTTGGGTCCTAATCCTCCCAAAATTCAGGATTTTTGTCCCTTTTGGGGTCCAAAAAAATGGGATTTGGGTCCCGATCCTCCCAAAATTCAGGATTTCCATCCCTTTTGGGGTCCAAAAAAAGGGGATTTGGGTCGTGAATGTCCCCAGAAATTGTGGTTTCGAGCCCTTTTGGGGTCAAAAAAAGTGGGATTTGGGTCCCGATCCTCCCAAAAATTGGGATTTTTGTCCCTTTTGGGGTCCAATAAAAGGGGTTTTTTGGGTCCCAATTGCTCCAAAAATGGGGATTTTTAGGGGAAAAAGGGGATTTTAATCCCAAATATCCCTAAATATCCCTAAATTTTGGGTTTTTTATCCCCCCAGAGCCGGCTGCAGCGCCGGGCCCGCGCCCTGGCCCGGGAGCGAGCGGAGCGGGAATTCGGGAGCGCCCCCAAATCAAACCCTGGGATTTGGGGTCCAATTATCCCAAAAAAGGGGATTTTGGGGGTTAAAAGTGATATTTTAGTCCTGATTATCCCCAAATTTGGGGTTTCCAGGGGGGAAAAAAATGGGATTTGGGTCCCGATCCTCTCAAAATTCAGGATTTCTGTCCCTTTTGGGGTCCAAAAAAAGGGGGTTTTTGGGCCCCGATTGCTCCAAAAATGGGGATTTTAGGGTTAAAAAATGTGATTTTCCCGTTTTTCTCCCTAAATTTGGGTTTTTTTGTGTCCCCAGAGCCGGCTGCAGCGCCGGGCCCGCGCCCTGGCCCGGGAGCGAGCGGAGCGGGAATTCGGGAGCGCCCCCCACTCCTTCGTCTTCCCCAAGGGCAGGGTCGGGAGGAGCCTCCGCGGGCTCTGCCGGGACCTGCGCAGGGTCCTCGAGCCCTTCACGGCCAGGGCACTCCAGGTAACAAATTTGGGGTTATTTTGGGCTATTTTAGGGGTTTTTGTGGGGTTTTGGGGGTCAGGGTCGGGAGGAGCCTCCGTGGGCTCTGCCGGGACCTGAGCAGGGCCCAGGCCCTCCAGGTACCCAAATTTGGGGTTATTTTGGGTTTTTTGTGGGGTTTTTGTGGGAATTTGGGGGGGTTTTGTGGGTTATTTGGGTTTTTTGGGGGGGTTTTTGGGGGTCAGGGCAGGAGGAGCCTCCGTGGGCTCTGCCGGGACCTGAGCAGGGCCCAGGCAATCCAGGTACCAAATTTGGGGTTATTTTGATTTTTTGTGGGATTTTTGTGGGATTTTGTGGGTTTTTGTGGGATTTTAGGAGGTTTTTGGGTTTTTGGGGGGATTATTTGGGGTTTTTGGGGGTCAGAATGAGGAGGAGCCTCCATGGGACCTGCGCAGGGTCCTCAAACCCTTCACGGTCCAGGCCCTCCAGGTACCCAAAATTTGGGGTTATTTTGATTTTTTTGTGGGATTTTTGTGGGATTTTGTGTGGTTTTTGTGAGATTTTGTGGGATTTTTGAAGGGTTTTGGGGGGTTTTGGGGGGGCAGAATGAGGAGGAGCCTCCACAGGACCTGCACAGGGTCCTCGAGCCCTTCACAACCCGGACCCTCCAGGTACCCAAAATTTGAGGTTATTTTTGGTTTTTGGGGGTTTTTTGTGGGATTTTAGGAGGTTTTTGGGGGTTTTTGGGGATATTTGGGGTTTTTGGGGGGTTTTAGGGAGTCAGGGTCGGGAGGAGCCTCCGCGGGCTCTGCCGGGACCTGAGCAGGGCCCGGACCCTCCAGGTACCAAATTTGGGGTTATTTTGATTTTTTTGTGGGATTTTTGTGGGTTTTTGTGGGATTTTTGTGGGATTTTAGGAGGTTTTTGGGTTTTTTTGGGGTATTTTGGGGTTTTTGGGGGGTTTTAGGGGGTCAGAGTCAGGAGGAGCCTCCATGGGACCTGTGCAGGGTCCTTGAGCCCTTCACGGCTCGGGCACTCCAGATAACAAATTTGGGGTTATTTTGGGCTTTTCTGGGTTTTTTTGTGGGGGTTTTGTGGGGGTTTTGTGGGATTTTGGGAGGTTCTGGGATTATTTGGGGGGTTTTAAGGGCTCAGGGTCAGGAGGAGCCTCCATGGGACCTGCACAGGGTCCTTGAACCCTTCACGGCCAGGGCACTCCAGGTACCCAAATTTGGGGTTATTTTGATTTTTTTGTGGGATTTTTGTGGGATTTTAAGAGGTTTTTGGGGATTTTGGGGTATTTTGGGGTTTTTGGGAGGTTTTGGGGTTAGGGTCAGGAGGAGCCTCCGTGGGCTCTGCCGGGACCTGAGCAGGGTCTGGACCCTCCAGGTACCAAAAATTTGGGTTATTTTGATTTTTTTGTGGGATTTTTGGGGATTTTTGTGGGATTTTAGGAGGTTTTTGAGGTTTTTTTGGCGTTATTTTTGGTTTTTTTGGGTTTTTTTGTGGGATTTAAATTTTATTTATTTTAATTGAATTTTTTTTTTTAATTGAGTTTTAATTGAGTTTTATATTTTAGTTTTTATTTTTTGAATATATCTGATTTTTAAATGAGATTTTATTTTTTAATCGCGCTTTATTGTTTAAATTGAATTTTATTTTTGAATTAAATTTGACTTTTCAATTTTATTTTTTAGTTCCGTTTCATATTTGAATTCCTTTTTTTTAATTTTATTTTTTAATTAAATTTTACTTTTTAATGTTATTTTTTAGTTCCGTTTCATATTTGAATTCTTTTTTTTAAATTTTATTTTTGAATTAAATTTTACTTTTTAATTTTATTTTTTAGTTCCGTTTCATATTTGAATTCTTTTTTTTAATTTTATTTTTGAATTAAATTTGACTTTTCAATTTTATTTTTTAGTTCCGTTTCATATTTGAATTATTTTTTTTTATTTTATTTTTCTTTTAATTTCTATTTTTTATTTTATTTTTTATGTTATTTTTTATTTTATTTTATTTTTTATTTTATTTTTATTTTATTTTTTATTTAATTTTTTTCTTTTATTTTTTATTTTAATTTTATTTTTATCCTCAAAAATTCTCATTTTAACTCGCCCTTTCCTTTTTCACCCACTCCAATTTCCCACCTTAATTTTCCATTCATCCCTTTCACTTCTCCTTTTTTTCCCTATATTTCAATTTTTTTCCTTAATTAAACTTTCCTTTAATTTCCTTCTTTCTCCCTTATTTTTCTTCAATTTATTTCTATTTTTCAACCTTTTATTTTAATTTAATTCCCATTTTTTTCCAGGTGCGGGCCAAGAACTCCCTGCGGGATTTGGTGGCCGTGGCCGGACCTTTGGGGGTCTCCCATTTCCTGGTGCTCAGCAAGACCCCCACCAGCATCAACCTCGTGAGTTTGGGGACCCCTCCCCAAAAATTTGGGGGATTTTGGGTCATTTTGGGTCATTTTTGGGGGATTTTGGGTCATTTTTGGGAGTGTTTCGGTCATTTTTTGGGGGATTTTTGGGGATTTTGGGGTCATTTTTGGGGGTCTCCCATTTCCTGGTGCTCAGCAAGACCCCCACCAGCATCAACCTCGTGAGTTTGGGGACCCCTCCCCAAAAATTTGGGGGATTTTGGGTCATTTTTGGGGGATTTTGGGTCATTTTTGGGAGGTTTTGAGTTGTTTTTTGGGGGGATTTTGGGGGGATTTTGGGGGGTCTCCCATTTTTGGTGCTCAGCAAGACCCCCACCAGCATCAACCTCGTGAGTTTGGGGACCCCTCCCCAAAAATTTGGGGGATTTTGGGTCATTTTGGGTCATTTTCAGTCATTTTTTGGGGTATTTTGAGTAATTTTTTGGGGGGATTTTGAGTCATTTTTGGGGGGTTTTGGGTCATTTTTGGGGGTCTCCCATTTCCTGGTGCTCAGCAAGACCCCCACCAGCATCAACCTCGTGAGTTTGGGGACCCCACCCCAAAAATTTGGGGGATTTTGGGTCATTTTGGGTCATTTTCGAGTCATTTTGGGGTTTTTGGGGATTTTTGGTCATTTTGGGGATTTTGGGTCATTTTGGGGGCTCTCCCATTTTTTGGTGCTCAGCAAGACCCCCACCAGCATCAACCTCGTGAGTTTGAGGACCCCTCCAAAATTTAGAGATTTTGGGTCATTTGGGTCATTTTGAGTCATTTTTGGGGTATTTTGAGTTGTTTTGGGGATTTTGGGTGATTTTGGGGGTCTCCCATTTCCTGGTGCTCAGCAAGACCCCCACCAGCATCAACCTCGTGAGTTTGAGGACCCCCCAAAAATTTGGGGGATTTTGGGTCATTTTGGGTCATTTTTGGGGGATTTTGGACCATTTTTTGGGGGATTTTGGGTCATTTTTGGGGGGATTTTGGGTCATTTTTTGGGGGTCTCCCATTTCCTGGTGCTCAGCAAGACCCCACCAGCATCAACCTCGTGAGTTTGGGGACCCTCCCCAAAAATTTGGGGGATTTTGGGTCATTTTGGGTCATTTTTGGGGATTTTGGTCATTTTGGGTCATTTTGGGGATTTTGGGTCATTTTTGGGAGTTTTGAGTTGTTTTTGGGGATTTTGGGTCATTTTGGGGGGTCTCCCATTTTTGGTGCTCAGCAAGACCCCACCAGCATCAACCTCGTGAGTTTGAGGACCCCTCCCCAAAATTTGGGAGATTTTAGGTCATTTTGGGTCATTTGTAGTCATTTTGGGAATTTTGGGTAATTTTTAGGGGATTTTGAGTCATTTTGGGGATTTTGGGTCATTTTTGGGGGGTCTCCCATTTCCTGGTGCTCAGCAAGACCCCCACCAGCATCAACCTCGTGAGTTTGAGGACCCCTCCCCAAAAATTTGGAGATTTTGGGTCATTTTGGGTCATTTTGGGTCATTTTGGAGTCATTTTTGGGGGATTTTGGTCATTTTTGGGGGGATTTTGGGTCATTTTTGGGGGTCTCCCATTTCCTGGTGCTCAGCAAGACCCCCACCAGCATCAACCTCGTGAGTTTGGGGACCCCTCCCCAAAAATTTGGGGGATTTTGGGTCATTTTGGGTCATTTTTGGGGGTATTTTTGGGTCATTTTGAGTCATTTTGGGGGATTTTGGGTCATTTTGGGGGATTTTGGGTCATTTTGGGGGCTCCCATTTCCTGGTGCTCAGCAAGACCCCCACCAGCATCAACCTCGTGAGTTTGGGACCCCTCCAAAAATTTGGGGATTTTGGGTCATTTTCAGTCATTTTTGGGTTTTTTTTAGGTCATTTTTGGGGAGTTTTCGGTCATTTTTGGGGGATTTTGGGGTCATTTTTTGGGGAGGGTCTCCCATTTCCTGGTGCTCAGCAAGACCCCCACCAGCATCAACCTCGTGAGTTTGGGGACCCCACCCCAAAAATTTGGGGGATTTTGGGTCATTTTAGGTCATTTTGTGTAATTTTGGAGAAATTTTGAGTAATTTTTTGAGGGATTTGGGTCATTTTTGGGGATTTTTGGGGGATTTTGGGGTCATTTTGGGGGGGTCTCCCATTTCCTGGTGCTCAGCAAGACCCCCACCAGCATCAAAACCTCGTGAGTTGGGGGACCCCCCCCCAAAAATTTGGGGGATTTTGGGTCATTTTGGGTCATTTTTGGGGGATTTTGAGTCATTTGGGGGGGTTTTGAGTCATTTTTGGGGGGTTTTGGGTCATTTTGGGGGGGGTCTCCCATTTCCTGGTGCTCAGCAAGACCCCCACCAGCATCAACCTCGTGAGTTTGGGGACCCCTCCCCAAAAATTTGGGGGATTTTGGGTCATTTTGGAGGAATTTTGAGTCATTTTTGGGTCATTTTTGGGAGGTTTTGAGTCATTTTTGGGGGGTCTTGGATCATTTTGGGAGGGTTTTGGGTCATTTTTTGGAGGATTTTGGGTCATTTTGGGTCATTTTTGTGGGGTCCTGGGTCATTTTTGGGGGGTTTTGGGTCATTTTTGGGGGGTCTTGGATCATTTTGGAGGAATTTTCAGTCATTTTTGGGGGATTTTCCGTCATTTTTGGGAGGTCTTGGGTCGTTTTTGGTGGGTCTTGGGTCATTTTGGGGGGCTTTTGAGTCATTTTTGGGAGGTTTTGGGTCATTTTTGGGGGGGTCTTGGATCATTTTGGGAGGGTTTTGAGTCATTTTTGGGTGCTCCTGGTTCATTTTTTGGGGGGTCCCAGAACATTTGGGGGGTTTCTGGTTCATTTTTGGGGGGTCCTGGCTCATTTTTGGGGCTCCTGGTTAAATTTGGGGCCTCCTGATTCATTTTTTGGGGGGCTCCTCCCTCATTTTTAGGGGGTCCCAACTCCCCCCCCTCCCCCAGCCCCAAATGATGAAAGAATTTGGGCTGAATTGGGGCCTTTTTGGGGTCGTGATGCTCCAAAGTAAACGCTCTGATGGCTCTGGGGGTTTTTTGGGGGGAGGGTCCCCAAAATTTGGGATTTCCCCCAAATTCCTTGGAATTGAAACTTTTTTCCTTCTTTCCCATCCCCCAAAAAAAAAAACCCAAATCCACAGAAACTTTTTCGGCTCCCCGGGGGTCCCACCCTGACCTTCCAAAGTGCTCCAGGTGCGTTTTGGGGGATTGGGGGTTTGGGGGTCCTGGAGGGTTTTGGGGGATTTTGGGGGTCTTGGGGGATTTTGGGGGTCCTGGAGGGGTTTTGGGGGATTTGGGGGATTTTGGGGGTCCTGGAGGGATTTGGGGATTTTGGGGGTCCTGGGGGGATTTGGGGGATTTTGGGGGGTTCTGGGGGGATTTTGGGGAGATTTGGGGGTCCTGGGTGGGATTTTGGGGGTCCTGGAGGGGTTTTGGGGATTTTGGGGGATTTTGGGGGTCCTGGAGGGGTTTTGGGGAGATTTGGGGGTCTTGGGGGAGATTTGGGGGTCCTGGGTGGGATTTTGGGGGTCCTGGAAGGGTTTTGGGGGTCTTTGCCCCACCCTGACCTTCAGAGTGCTCCAGGTGCGTTTTGGGGGATTTGGGGGGTTTTGGGGGTCCTGGGGGATTTTAGGGGGTCCTGGAGGGGTTTGGGGGTCCTGGAGGGGTTTTGGGGTGATTTTGGGGTCCTGGGTGGGATTTTGGGGGATTTTGGGGGTCCTGGGTGGGATTTTGGGGAGATTTGGGGGTTCTGGGTGGGATTTTGGGGAGATTTGGGGGGTTTTGGGGGCATTTTGGGGGTCTTGGAGGGGTTTTGGGGGTCCTGGAGGGGTTTTGGGGCGTTTTTGGGGGCATTTTGGGGGTCTTGAGAGGATTTTGGGGATCCTGGAGGGGATTTTGGGGAGATTTGGGGGTCTTGGAGGGGTTTGGGGGTCCTGGAGGGGTTTTGGGGGATTTTGGGGGTCCTGGGTGGGATTTTGGGGGTCCTGGAGGGGTTTTGAGGTGATTTTGGGGGTCCTGGGGGGGATTTTGGGGGGTCTTGAGGGGATTTTGGGGGTCCTGGAGGGGTTTTGGGGGTCCTGGAGGGGTTTTTGGGGTTATTTTTGAGGGTTTTTTGGGGTGCTTTTGAGGGGTTTCTGGAGGGATTTTTAGGGTTATTTTTGAGGTATTTTTTGGTGTTTTTGAGGCGTTTCTGGCGGGATTTTTAAGGTTATTTCTGAGGTATTTTTGGGTGTTTTTGGGGTGATTTTGAGGTGATTTTTGGGGTGTTTTTGAGGCGTTTGTGGAGGGATTTTTAGGGTTATTTTTGAGGTAATTTTTTGTGGTTTTGAGGGGATTTTTAGGGGTGTTTTTGAGGCGTTTCTGATGGGATTTTTAGGGTTATTTTTGAGGGATTTTTGGGGTGTTTTTTAGGGATTTTTTGGGGTGCTTTTGAGGGGTTTCTGGCAGGATTTTTAGGGTTATTTTTGAGGGATTTTTGAGGTGTTTTTGAGGTATTTTTGGGGTGTTTTTGAGGTGTTTCTGGAGGGATTTTTAAGGTTATTTCTGAGATAATTTTGGGTGGTTTTGAGGGGATTTTTAGGGGTGTTTTTGAGGTTGTTTTGAGGAGTTTCTGGTGGGATTTTTTGGGGGATTTTTTGGAGGTTTTCTGGGCTGGTTTTTTGGGATATTTTCAGGATATTTTGGGATGATTTTGAGGTGATTTTTGGGGGTGCTTTTGAGGGGTTTCTGGTGGGATTTTTAGGGTTATTTTTGAGGGTTTTTTGGGGTGTTTTGAGGGATTTTTGGGGGTGTTTTTGAGACGTTTCTGGCGGGATTTTTAGGGTTATTTTTGAGGGATTTTTTGGTGGTTTTGAGGGGATTTTTAGGGGTGTTTTGGAGGAGTTTCTGGTGGGATTTTGGGGGGGATTTTTTTGAGGTTTTCTGGGCTGGTTTTTTGGTATATTTTGGGGATATTTTAGGATATTTTGGTTTAATTTTTTCCTCCCCAGTATTCCCTGATCCGAGATGTGGTCTCAGCGCTCCGGAGGCACCGGATGCACGAGCAGCTCTGGGGGGGTTTGGGGCTGCTTTTTTTGGGATATTTTGGGGATATTTTGGGATGATTTTGAGGTGATTTTTGGGGTGTTTTTGAGGTGTTTCTGGAGGGATTTTTAGGGTTATTTTTGAGGATTTTTTGGGGTGTTTTTGAGGGATTTTTTGGGTGTTTTTGAGGGGTTTCTAGAGGGATTTTTGGGGATTCTTTTTGAGGGGTTTTTGGGGTGTTTTTGAGGTATTTTTTGGGAGTGTTTTTGAGGCGTTTCTGGCGGGATTTTTAAGGTTATTTTTGAGGGATTTTGGGGGTGTTTTGAGGTGTTTCTGGCAGGATTTTTGGGGGGATTTTTTTTGAGGTTTTCTGGGCTGGTTTTAAGGTATTTTTGGGATATTTTGGGGATATTTTAGGATATTTTGGTTTAATTTTTTCCTGGTCAGTATTCCCTGATCCGGGACGTGGTCTCAGCGCTCCGGAGGCACCGGATGCACGAGCAGCTCTGGGGGGGTTTGGGGCTGCTTTTTTGGGATATTTTGGGGATATTTTAGGATAATTTTCCCCCTCTTTTCCTGGTCAGTATTCCCTGATCCGGGACGTGGTCTCAGCGCTCCGGAGGCACCGGATGCACGAGCAGCTCTGGGGGGGTTTGGGGCTGCTTTTTTGGGATATTTTCAGGATATTTTGGGATGATTTTGAGGTGATTTTTGGGAGTGTTTTTGAGGCATTTCTGAAGGGATTTTTGGGGTGTTTTTGAGGGATTTTTTAGGGTGATTTTGGGGTGATTTTTGGGGGTGTTTTTGAGGGGTTTCTGGAGGGATTTTTAGGGTTACTTTTGAGGTTTTTTTGGGGTGATTTTGAGGGATTTTTGGGATGTGTTTTTGAGGGGTTTCTGGTGGGATTTTTAGGGTTATTTTTGAGGGGTTTTTGGGGTGTTTTTGAGGGGTTTCTGGCAGGATTTTTAAGGTTATTTTTGAGGTATTTTTTGGTGTTTTTGAGGTGATTTTGAGGGGATTTTTAGGGGTGTTTTAAGGAGTTTCTGGTGGGATTTTTGGGGATTTTTTTAGGTTTTCTGGGCTGGTTTTTTGGGATATTTTCAGGATATTTTGGGATGATTTTGGGATGATTTTTGGGAGTGTTTTTGAGGGGTTTCTGGAGGGATTTTTAGGGTTATTTCTGAGGTATTTTTTGGTGTTTTTGGGGTGATTTTGAGGGGATTTTTAGGGGTGTTTTGGAGGAGTTTCTGGAGGGATTTTTAGGGTTATTTTTGAGGTATTTTTTGGGGTGTTTTTGAGGGATTTTTGGGGGTGTTTTTGAGGTGTTTTTGAGGGATTTTTGGGGACGTTTTTCAGGTGTTTCTAGTGGAATTTTTGGGATGTTTTTGAGACGTTTCTGGTGGGATTTTTAGGGGTGTTTTGAGGTGTTTCTGGGCTGGTTTGGGGCTGGTTTTAGGAGCTTTTTAAAGCAAATTTTAAGGGGGTTTTGGGAGGATTTTGGGGATATTTTGGTTTAATTTTCCCCCTCTTTCCCTGGTCAGTATTCCCTGATCCGAGATGTGGTCTCAGCGCTCCGGAGGCACCGGATGCACGAGCAGCTCTGGGGGGGTTTGGGGCTGCTTTTTTTGGGATATTTTCAGGATATTTTGGGATGATTTTGAGGTGATTTTTGGGAGTGTTTTTGAGGGGTTTCTGGAGGGATTTTTAGGGTTATTTTTGAGGTATTTTTTGGTGTTTTCAAGGTGATTTTGAGGGGATTTTTAGGGGTGTTTTGGAGGAGTTTCTGGTGGGATTTTTTAGGGTTATTTTTGAGGGATTTTGGGGGTGTTTTTGAGGGATTTTTTGGGTGTTTTTGAGGGGTTTCTGGAGGGATTTTTAAGGTTATTTTTGAGGTATTTTTGGGTGGTTTTGAGGGGATTTTTAGGGGGCGGTTTTGAGGCGTTTCTGGAGGGATTTTTAGGGTTATTTTCAAGGTATTTTTTGGTGTTTTTGGGGTGATTTTGAGGGGATTTTTAGGGGTGTTTGGGAGGTGTTTCTGGCAGGATTTTTGGGGGGATTTTTTTGAGGTTTTCTGGGCTGGTTTTAAGGTATTTTTGGGATATTTTGGGGATATTTTAGGATATTTTGGTTTGATTTTTTCCTGGTCAGTATTCCCTGATCCGAGATGTGGTGTCCTCGCTCCGGAGGCACCGGATGCACGAGCAGCTCTGGGGGGGTTTGGGGCTGCTTTTTTGGGATATTTTGGGGATATTTTGGGGTGATTTTGAGGTGATTTTTGGGGGTGTTTTTGAGGGGTTTCTGGAGGGATTTTTAGGGTTATTTTTGAGGTATTTTTTGGGGTGTTTTTGAGGGATTTTTGGGGGTGTTTTGGAGGAGTTTCTGGAGGGATTTTTAGGGTTATTTTTGAGGGATTTTTGGGAGGTTTTTGAGGCATTTCTGGAGGGATTTTTGGGGTGTTTTGGAGGGATTTTAGGGGTGTTTTTGAGGGGTTTCTGGAGGGATTTTTGGGCTGTTTTTGAGGGATTTTTGGGGTGTTTTTTAGGTATTTTTGGGGATGTTTTTCAGGTGTTTCTGACAGGATTTTTGGGGGGATTTTTTTGGAGGTTTTCTGGGCTGGTTTTCGGGGGGTTTTTTGGGATATTTTCAGGATATTTTGGGATAATTTGGGATGGTTTTTTCCTCCCCAGTATTCCCTGATCCGAGATGTGGTCTCAGCGCTCCGGAGGCACCGGATGCACGAGCAGCTCTGGGGGGGTTGGGGCTGCTTTTTTGGGATATTTTGGGGATATTTTAGGATATTTTAATTTGATTTTTTCCTCCCCAGTATTCCCTGATCCGGGACGTGGTCTCAGCGCTCCGGAGGCACCGGATGCACGAGCAGCTCTGGGGGGGTTGGGGCTGCTTTTTTGGGATATTTTGGGGATATTTTAGGATGATTTTGAGGTGATTTTTGGGGGTGTTTTTGAGGGGTTTCTAGAGGGATTTTTTGGGGATTCTTTTTGAGGGGTTTTTGGGGTGTTTTTGAGGTATTTTTTGGGAGTGTTTTTGAGGCGTTTCTGGCGGGATTTTTAAGGTTATTTTTGAGGGATTTTGGGGGTGTTTTGAGGTGTTTCTGGCAGGATTTTTGGGGGGATTTTTTTTGAGGTTTTCTGGGCTGGTTTTAAGGTATTTTTGGGATATTTTGGGGATATTTTGGGATAATTTTTCCCCCTTTTTTTCTGGTCAGTATTCCCTGATCCGGGACGTGGTCTCAGCGCTCCGGAGGCACCGGATGCACGAGCAGCTCTGGGGGGTTTGGGGCTGGTTTTTTGGGATATTTTGGGGATATTTTAGGATATTTTGGTTTAATTTTCTCCTCCCCAGTATTCCCTGATCCGGGACGTGGTCTCAGCTCTCCGGAGGCACCGGATGCACGAGCAGCTCTGGGGGGGTTTGGGGCTGTTTTTGGGATATTTTGGGGATATTTTAGGATATTTTGGTTTAATTTTCTCCTCCCCAGTATTCCCTGATCCGGGACGTGGTCTCAGCGCTCCGGAGGCACCGGATGCACGAGCAGCTCTGGGGGGGTTTGGGGCTGTTTTTTTGGGATATTTTCAGATATTTTGGGATATTTTGGTTTAATTTTCTCTCCTCTTTTCCTGTTCAGTATTCCCTGATCCGAGATGTGGTCTCAGCACTCCGGAGGCACCGGATGCACGAGCAGCAGTTCTCCCACCCCCCCCTGCTGGTGCTGAGCAATTTCGGGCTCCCCCAGATCCACGTCAAGCTGATGGCCGGGATGTTCCAGGGGATGTTCCCGGCCCTCAACGTCCACAAGGTGAGTGGATTCGGGAATTTTTCCTTTCTTCTTCCCTTCTTTTCCTGATTTTCTTCTCTTTTTTCAATTTTTTCTTTCCTTCCTTTTTTTTTCTGCTCTCTCCCTTTGTTTCCCTTCCTTTTTCTTCTCTTTTCCTTTTCTTCCTCTTTCCCTTTTGCTTTTCCTTTTCTTTTTCCTCCTCTTCTTTTCCTTTTCCTTTTCCTTTTCCTTTTCCTTTTCCTTTTCCTTTTCCTTTTCCTTTTCCTTTTCCTTTTCCTTTTCCTTTTCCTTTTCCTTTTCCTCCCTTTTCTCTTTCCTTTCCTTTTCCTTTTCCTCTTCTTTTTTTCCTTCCCTTTTCCTTTTCCTCTTCTTCTTTTTCCTTTCTTTTCCTTTTCCTTTTCCTTTTCCTTTTCCTTTTCCTTCCCTTTTCCTTCTCTTCCTTTTCCTTTCCTTTTCCTTTCCCTTTTCCTTTTCCTTTTCCTTTCCTTTTCCTTTTGCTTTTCCTTTTCCTCTTTTTCCTTCCCTTTTCCTCTTTTTCCTTCCCTTTTCCTTTTCCTTTTCCTTTTCCTTTTCCTTTTCCTTTTCCTTTTCCTTTTCCTTTTCCTTTTCATTTTCCTTTTCCTTTTCCTTCTCCTTTCCCTTCTCCTCCTTTTTCCTTCTCATTTTCCCTTCTCTTCTCTTCCCTTTTCCCTTTTTTTTCTTCTCCTTTCCCTTCCCTTCTCCCCTTTCCCTCCCCTTCCTCTCTCCTTCCCATATTTTCCCTTCCCCACCCCTCCATTTTCCCTCCCCCCCCCCATTTCCCATCCCATTCCCTGTTTTCCCCAGTTTTATCCCATTTTTTCCCCCCTGGGCAGGTGAATCTCAACTCCATCCGCCGGTGTTTGCTCCTCACGCTCGACCCGGACTCGCAGCTCCTGCACTTCCGACACTAGTGAGGATCCCACCCCCTTCCCAGCACATTCCCAACCCATTCCCGTTATCCCAGCACATTCCCGTTATCCCAACCCCATTCCTATTATCCCAACTCCTTTTCCAGCCCCATTCCCATTATCCCAGCTCCATTCCCTTTATTTCAGTCCCATTTCCCAGCCCCATTCCCGTTATCCCAGCCCCATTCCCGTTATCCCAACCCATTCCCGTTATCCCAACCCCATCCCAGTCCCATTCCCCTTATTCCAGTCCCATTCCCGTTATCCCAACCCATTCCTATTATTCCAACCCATTCCTATTATCCCAACCCATTCCCGTTATCCCAACCCCTTCCCAACCCCATTCCCGTTATCTCAACCCCTTTTCCAGCTCCATTCCCATTATTCCAGTCCCATTTCCCAGCCCCATTCCCATTATCCCAACCCATTCCCATTATTCCAGTCCCATTTCCCAGCCCCATTCCCGTTATCCCAACCCTATCCCAGCCCCATTCCTGTTATCCCAACCCCATTCCTATTATCCCACCCCATTCCCAACCCCATTCCCGTTATCCCAACCCCATTCCCATTATCCCAACCCCATTCCCGTTATCCCAACCCCATTCCCATTATCCCAACCCCATTCCCGTTATCCCAGCCCCATTCCCAGCTCCATTCCCGTTATCCCAACCCCATTCCTGTTATCCCAGCCCCATTCCCATTATCCCAACCCCATTCCCAGCCCCATTCCCATTATCCCAACCCCAATCCCATTAAATTCCCAACCCCATTCCCATTATCCCAACCCCATTTCCCCTTTTTTCAATCCCATTTCCCAACCCCTTTTCTAGCTCCATTCCCATTATTTCAGTCCCATTTCCCAGCCCCATTCCCGTTATCCCAACCCCATCCCAGCCTCATTCCCGTTATCCCAACCCCTTTTCCAGCTCCATTCCCATTATTTCAGTCCCATTTCCCAACCCCATTCCCATTATCCCAACCCCATTCCTGTAATCCCAACCCCATTCCAAGCCCCATTCCCATTATCCCAACCCCATTCCCATTATCCCAACCCATTTTCCAGCTCCATTCCCAGCCCCATTCCCGTTATCCCAACCCCATTCCTGTTATCCCAACCCATTCCCATTATCCCAACCCATTTTCCAGCTCCATTCCCAGCCCCATTCCCGTTATCCCAACCCATTCCCAGCCCCATTCCTGTTATCCCAATCCCATTCCCATTATCCCAACCCCATTCCCAGCCCCATTCCCATTATCCCAACCCATTCCTATTATTCCAACCCATTCCCATTATCCCAACCCATCCCAGTCCCATTCCTGTTATCCCAACCCATTCCCATTATCCCAACCCCATTCCCAGCCCCATTCCCGTTATCCCAACCCATTCCCGTTATCCCACCCCATTCCCAATCCCATTCCCATTATCCCAGCCCCCTTCCCATTGTTATCCCATTGTTATCCCATTGTTCCCATGATCCCAATCCCATTGTTATCCCATTATTATCCCATTGTTATCCCATTATTCCCATTATTCCCGTGATCCCATTCCCATTATTCCCATTATTCCCATGATCCCATTCCCATTGTTATCCCATTATTCCCAGTTCCGTTCAGGTGGTCCCGGTCGGGGTCAGTCGGGGGCTCCGGAAGCTCCTCCAGGAGAAATTCCCCAATCTCAGCCGGCTCCAGGACATCAGCGACCTCCTGATGGGGTGAGAGGGGACATTTGGGATGAGATTGGGGACATTTGGGGACACCTGGGGACATTTGGGGACATTTGGGGTGAGATTGGGGACATTTGGGGACATTGGGGACATTTGGGGTGAGATTGGGGGACATCAGCGACCTCCTGCTGGGGTGAGAGGGGACATTTGGGGACATTTGGGGACATTTGGGGACATTGAGGGCGAGATTGGGGACATTGGGGGTGAGATTGGGGACATTGGGGGACATCATTGGGGACATTTGGGGACATCAGCGACCTCCTGCTGGGGTGAGAGGGGACATTTGGGGACATTTGGGGACATTTGGGGACATTGAGGACGAGATTTGGGGACATTGGGGGTGAGTTAGGGGACATTGGGGGACATCATTGGGGACATTTGGGGACATCAGCGACCTCCTGCTGGGGTGAGAGGGGACATTTGGGGACATTTGGGGACATTTGGGGACATTTGGGGACATCAGCGACCTCCTGCTGGGGTGAGAGGGGACACTGGGGACCCTGGGGACATTGGGGACATTGGGGACATTTGGGGACATTTGGGGACATTGGGGGACATTTGGGGGGAGATTGGGGACATTTGGGGACATTTTGGGGAGATTTGGGGACATTTGGGACATTGGGGACATTGGGGACATTTGGGGGGACATTGGGGACATTGGGGACATTGGGGGGACATTTGGGGACATTTGGGGGCATTTGGGGACATTGGGGACATTTGGGGACATTGGGGACATTGGGGGACATTTGGGGACATTGGGGACATTGGGGGACATTTGGGGACATTTGGGGACATTGGGGACATTTGGGGACATTTTGGAGTGAGATTGGGGACATTGGGGGACATTTGGGGACATTTGGGGACATTTGATGACATTGGGGGACATTTGGGGTGAGATTGGGGACATTTGGGGACATTGGGGACATTTGGGGACATTTGGGGACATTGGGGACATTTGGGGACATTGGGGACATTTGGGGTGAGATTGAGGACATCATTGGGGACATTTGGGGACATTGGGGGGACATTGGGGACATTTGGGGTGAGATTGGGGACATTTGGGGACATTGGGGACATTAGGAGGACATTTGGGGACATTGGGGACATTTGGGGACATTTGGGGACATTTGGGGGACATTTGGGGACATTTGGGGACATTTTGGGGACATTTGGGGACATTGGTGACATTTGGGGACATTTTGGGGACATTTTGGGGACATTTGGGGACATTGGGGACATTTGGGGACATTGGGGACATTGGGGACATTTGGGGACATTGGGGGACATTTGGGGACATTGGGGGACATTTGGGGACATTGGGGACATTGGGGGACATTTGGGGACATTTGGGGGACATTGGGGACATTGGGGACATTGGGGACATTTGGGGACATTGGGGACATTTGGGGACATTTGGAGACATTTGGGGTGAGATTGGGGACATTGGGGGACATTTGGGGACATTGGTGACATTTGGGGACATTTGGGGGGACATTTGGGGACATTGGGGGACATTTGGGGACATCAGCGACCTCCTGCTGGGGTGAGATTGGGGACACCTGGGGACATTTGGGGACATTGGGGGACATTGGGGGACATTTGGGGACATCAGTGACCTCCTGATGGGGTGAGACTGGGGACATTGGGGACACTCTGGTGACCCTGGTGACATTGGTGACACTGTGGTGACCCTGGTGACACTGTGGTGACATTGGTGACCCTGTCGTTGTCCCCAGGGAGGTGGCCCTGTCGGAGAGCGAGGCGGAGCAGGGAGGGGACAGGGGGTGACTCTGATGACCCCAGGGTGACACTGGGGACACTGTGGTGACTCTGATGAATCTCTGGTGACACTGTGGTGACCCTGGTGACACTGTGGTGACATTGGTGACATTGCTGACCCCATGGTGACTCTGATGATCCCATGGTGACATTGCTGTTGTCCTTGTCCCCAGGGAGGTGGCCCTGTCGGAGAGCGAGGCGGAGCAGGGAGGGGACAGGGGGTGACTCTGATGAATCTCTGGTGACATTGATGACATTGCTGACCCCATGGTGACACTGTGGTCACCCTGGTGACCCCATGGTGACATTGCTGACCCCATGGTGACACTGATGACCCTGTTGTCCCCAGGGAGGTGGCCCTGTCGGAGAGCGAGGCGGAGCAGGGAGGGGACAGGGGGTGACCCTGATGAATCTCTGGTGACCCTGGTGACACTGTGGTCACTCTGGTGACACTGTGGTGACCCTGTCGTTGTCCCCAGGGAGGTGGCCCTGTCGGAGAGCGAGGCGGAGCAGGACGGGACCCACAACGTGCTGGAGCTGCCCCAGGACTGCGCCGGGAGGGGCAACAGGGGGGGACAGCAGAGTGCAGTGAGGCTGACAGAGGTGACAATGGGGACATTGGGGACATTGGGGACATTGGGGACATCCTGGGGACATTGGGGACACTGAGGGGACATTGGGGACATCAGGGGGACAGCAGAGTGCAGTGAGGCTCACTGAGGTGACAATGGGGACACTGAGGGGACATTGGGGACATCCTGGGGACATCATGGGGACATTGGGGACACTGAGGGGACATTGGGGACACTGAGGGGACATTGGGGACACTGAGGGGACATTGGGGACATCAGGGGGACACTGAGGTGACATTGGGGACATTGGGGACATCCTGGGGACATTGGGGACATCAGGTGACATTGGGGACACTGAGGTGACATTGGGGACACTGAGGTGACATTGGGGACACTGAGGGGACATTGGGGACATTGAGGGGACATTGGGGACACTGAGGGGACATTGGGGACATCCTGGGGACATTGGGGACATCAGGGGGACAGCAGAGCGCAGTGAGGCTCACTGAGGTGACAATGGGGACATTGGGGACATCAGGGGGACAGCAGAGCGCTGTGAGGGTCACTGAGGTGACAATGGGGACATTGGGGACATCAGGGGGACAGCAGAGTGCAGTGAGGCTCACTGAGGTGACAATGGGGACATTGGGGACATTGGGGACATCAGGGGGACAGCAGAGCGCAGTGAGGCTCACTGAGGTGACAATGGGGACACTGGGGACATCCTGGGGACAATGGGGACATTGGGGACATCAGGGGGACAGCAGAGTGCAGTGAGGCTGACTGAGGTGACAATGGGGACATTGGGGACATTGGGGACATCTTGGGGACATTGGGGACATCAGGGGGACAGCAGAGTGCACTGAGGCTCACTGAGGTGACAATGGGGACACTGAGGGGACATTGGGGACACTGAGGGGACATTGGGGACATTGGGGACATCAGGGGGACATTGGGGACACTGAGGGGACACTGGGGACATTGGGGACATCCTGGGGACATTGGGGACACTGAGGTGACATTGGGGACACTGAGGGGACATTGGGGACATTGGGGACATCAGGGGGACATTGGGGACACTGAGGTGACAATGGGGACACTGAGGTGACAATGGGGACATTGGGGACACTGAGGGGACATTGAGGACATCAGGGGGACATTGGGGACATCCTCGGGACATTGGGGACACTGAGGGGACATTGGGGACATTGGGGACACTGGGGGGACATTGGGGACACTGAGGGGACATTGGGGACACTGAGGGGACATTGGGGACATCAGGGGGACAGCAGAGCACTGTGAGGCTGACTGAGGTGACAGTGGGGACATTGGGGACATTGGGGACATCAGGGGGACATTGGGGACATCAGGGGGACAGCAGAGTGCAGTGAGGCTCACTGAGGTGACAGTGGGGACATTGGGGTGACAACAGGGACATTGGGGACATCAGGGGGACAGCAGAGCACTGTGAGGCTCACTGAGGTGACAGTGGGGACATTGGGGACATTGGGGACATCCGGGGGACATTGGGGACATTGGGGACATTGGGGACATCAGGGGGACAGCAGAGAGCTGTGAGGCTCACTGAGGTGACAACAGGGACATTGGGGACATTGGGGACATTGGGGACATTGGGGACATCAGGGGGACAGCAGAGCGCAGTGAGGCTCACTGAGGTGACAGTGGGGACATCAGGGGGACATTGGGGACATCAGGGGGACATTGGGGACACTGAGGGGACATTGGGGACATGGAGGTGACATTGGGGACACTGAGGGGACATTGGGGACACTGAGGGGACATTGGGGACATCAGGGGGACATTGGGGACACTGAGGTGACAATGGGGACACTGAGGGGACAGTGGGGACATCAGGGGGACATTGGGGACACTGAGGTGACAATGGGGACACTGAGGGGACAGTGGGGACATTGGGGACAATGGGGACACTGAGGTGACATTGGGGACACTGAGGGGACATTGGGGACATCCTGGGGACATTGGGGACATCCTGGGGACATTGGGGACACTGAGGGGACATTGGGGACATTGGGGACATGAGGGGGACAGTGGGGACATCAGGGGGACATCCTGGGGACACTGAGGGGACATTGGGGACACTGAGGTGACAGTGGGGACATCCTGGGGACACTGAGGGGACATTGGGGACATCAGGGGGACAGCAGAGTGCAGTGAGGCTCACTGAGGTGACAATGGGGACATTGGGGTGACAACAGGGACATTGGGGACATCCTGGGGACATTGGGGACATCCTGGGGACATTGGGGACACTGAGGGGACATCAGGGGGACAGCAGAGCGCTGTGAGGCTGACTGAGGTGACAGTGGGGACATTGGGGTGACAACAGGGACATTGGGGACATCCTGGGGACATTGGGGACATCAGGGGGACATTGGGGACATCCTGGGGACATTGGGGACATCAGGGGGACAGCAGAGCGCAGTGAGGCTCACTGAGGTGACAATGGGGACATTGGGGACATCCTGGGGACATCAGGGGACATTGGGGACATCCTGGGGACATTGGGGACATGGAGGTGACAGTGGGGACACTGAGGTGACAATGGGGACATTGGGGACATCAGGGGGACATTGGGGACACTGAGGGGACATTGGGGACACTGATGACATTGGGGACACTGAGGTGACAATGGGGACACTGAGGGGACACTGGGGACATTGGGGACACTGAGGGGACATTGGGGACATCAGGGGGACATTGGGGACATCAGGGGGACAGCAGAGTGCAGTGAGGCTGACAGAGGTGACAATGGGGACATTGGGGACACTGAGGGGACATTGGGGACATCCTGGGGACATCCTGGGGACATTGGGGACACTGAGGTGACATTGGGGACATCAGGGGGATATCCTGGGGACATTGGGGACACTGAGGGGACAGTGGGGACATTGGGGACATCTGAGGGGACATTGGGGACATCCTGGGGACACTGGGGACATTGGGGACATCAGGGGGACAGCAGAGTGCAGTGAGGCTGACTGAGGTGACAATGGGGACACTGAGGTGACAGTGGGGACACTGGGGACATTGGGGACACTGAGGGGACATTGGGGACACTGAGGGGACATTGGGGACATCAGGGGGACAGCAGAGCGCTGTCAGGCTCACTGAGGTGACAGTGGGGACATTGGGGACATCCTGGGGACATTGGGGACATCAGGGGGACATTGGGGACACTGAGGGGACATTGGGGACACGGAGGTGACATTGGGGACACTGAGGTGACATTGGGGACATGGTGGCCAGGTGTCCCCAAGGCTCACTGATGTCCCCTGTGTGTCCCCAGATCGGTCCCCGCCTGACGCTGCAGTTGGTGAAGGTGGAGGAGGGGCTGGGCCAGGGCAGCGTCCTCTACCACGGCCTGGGTGAGTAGGGGGGGTCTCACCTGTCCCCAGGGGGGTCTCACCTGTCCCCAGGTGTCCCCAGGTGTCCCCAGATGTCCCCAGGTGTCCCCAGGTGTGTCACCTGTCCCCCCTGCAGTCCACAGGAGCGAGGAGGAGCTGCAGGAGCTGCAGGAGAGGCGGGAGCAGAAGCTCCTGCTCAGGGCCCAGTTTGGGGTCTCACCTGTCCCCAGGGGGGTCTCACCTGTCCCCAGGGGGGTCTCACCTGTCCCCAGGTGTCCCCAGGTGTCCCCAGGTGTCCCCAGGTGTCCCCAGGGGGTCTCAGGTGTCCCCCCTGCAGTCCACAGGAGCGAGGAGGAGCTGCAGGAGCTGCAGGAGAGGCGGGAGCAGAAGCTCCTGCTCAGGGCCCAGTTTGGGGTCTCACCTGTCCCCAGGTGTCCCCAGGTGTCCCCAGGGGGTCTCACCTGTCCCCCCTGCAGTCCACAGGACCCCAGAGGAGCTGCAGGAGCTGCAGGAGAGGCGGGAGCAGAAGCTCCTGCTCAGGGCCCACTTTGGGGTCTCACCTGTCCCCAGGGGTCCCACAGGTGTGTCACCGGGCCCCAGGTGTCCCCAGGTGTCCCAGGGGTTCGTGGGTCCCCAGGTGTCCCCAGGTGTCCCAGGGTGTCCCCAGGTCCCCAGGGTGTCCACCAGGTGGCAGTCCACAGGACGCGAGAGGAGCTGCAGGAGCTGCAGGAGAGGCGGGAGCAGAAGCTCCTGCTCAGGGCCCAGTTTGGGGTCTCACCTGTCCCCAGGTGTCCCCAGGTGTCCCCAGATGTCCCCAGGTGTCCCCAGGTGTATCACCTGTCCCCCCTGCAGTCCACAGGACCCCAGAGGAGCTGCAGGAGCTGCAGCAGAGGCGGGAGCAGAAGCTCCTGCTCAGGGCCCAGTTTGGGGTCTCACCTGTCCCCAGGTGTCCCCAGGTGTGTCACCTGTCCCCAGGTGTCCCCAGGGGGTCTCAGGTGTCCCCCCTGCAGTCCACAGGACCCCAGAGGAGCTGCAGGAGCTGCAGGAGAGGCGGGAGCAGAAGCTCCTGCTCAGGGCCCACTTTGGGGTCTCACCTGTCCCCAGGTGTCCCCAGGTGTCCCCAGGTGTGTCCCCAGGTGTCCCCAGGTGTCCCCAGGTGTGTCACCTGTCCCCAGGTGTCCCCAGGTGTGTCACCTGTCCCCAGGTGTGTCACCTGTCCCCCCTGCAGTTCACAGGAGCGAGGAGGAGCTGCAGGAGCTGCAGGAGAGGCGGGAGCAGAAGCTCCTGCTCAGGGCCCACTTTGGGGTCTCACCTGTCCCCAGGTGTCCCCAGGTGTGTCACCTGTCCCCAGGTGTGTCCCCAGGTGTCCCCAGGTGTCCCCAGGTGTGTCACCTGTCCCCAGGTGTCCCCAGGTGTCCCCAGGTGTCCCCAGGTGTGTCACCTGTCCCCAGGTGTCCCCAGGTGTCCCCAGGTGTCCCCAGGTGTGTCACCTGTCCCCAGGTGTCCCCAGGTGTCCCCAGGTGTGTCACCTGTCCCCCCTGCAGTTCACAGGACCCCAGAGGAGCTGCAGGAGCTGCAGGAGAGGCGGGAGCAGAAGCTCCTGCTCAGGGCCCAGCGGAGGCAGAAACAGGAGCAGGACCTGGAGAGGAAACGGCGGCTCCGCCTCCTCAACAGGTGAGGGGACAGGGACAGGTGAGGGGAGGACAGGGTGAGGAGGGGACACCACAGGAGGACAGGGAGGGGACACCACACAGAGGAGGGGACAGGGGAGACCAGACAGGGACAGGGGACAGGGACAGGTGAGGGGACAGGGACAGGGCAGGGGAGGGGACAGGGGAGACCACACAGGGGACACCACACAGGGACAGGGGACAGGGACAGGGCAGGGGAGGGGACAGGGGAGACCACACAGGGGACACCACACAGGGACAGGGGACAGGGACAGGGCAGGGGACACCACACAGGTGAGGGGGAGGGGACAGGGCAGGGGACAGGGACAGGTGAGGGGAGACCACACAGGTGAGGGGGAGGGGACAGGGACAGGGGACAGGGACAGCAGAGGGGGATAGGGGAGGGGACAGGGGAGACCAGACAGGGGACACAAACAGGGACAGGGGAGGGGACACCACACAGGGGAGGGGACAGGGGAGACCACACAGGTGAGACCAGACAGGTGAGAGAGACACAGGGGGGGACAGGGGAGGGGACAGGTGAGAGGGACAGGGGAGAGGGACGGGAGGGGTCAGGGGAAGGGACAGGGGAGACCACACAGGTGAGGGGACAGCAGAGGGGACAGAACAGGTGAGAGGGACAGGGGAGAGAACAGGGGAGGGGACAGGGGAGACCACACAGGTGAGAGACACAGGGGAAGGGACAGGGAGACCAGACAGGTGAGGGGACAGCAGAGGGGACAGAACAGGTGAGGGGACAGGTGAGAGACAGGGGAGAGGACAGGGGAGACCAGACAGGTGAGACCAGACAGGTGAGAGAGACACAGGGGAAAGAACAGGTGAGAGACACATGGACAGGTGAGAGAGACATCACAGGTGACACCACAGAGGTGACACCAGAGAGAGACACAGGTGACACTCCCAGGTGAGGGCAGTGCTGGGATCAAACCTTACCTGTCCCTCACCTGTCCCTCTCACCTGTCCCCTCCCCCTCACCTGTCCCCATCTCCCCCCCTCAGGGAGCGAAGCCTGGCCGGGATGCGGCGCCGGCAGGGCCAGGACGGGCCAGGTGACGACAAAGGTGACAGAGCCAGGCCAGGTGACGACAAAGGTGACACTGCCAGGCCAGGTGACAGAGCCAGGCCAGGTGACAACAAAGGTGACAGGGCCAGGCCAGGTGACAAAGGTGACAGAGCCAGGCCAGGTGACAGAGCCAGGCCAGGTGACAGCAAAGGTGACACAGCCAGGCCAGGTGACAGGGCCAGGCCAGGTGACAGCAAAGGTGACACTGCCAGGCCAGGTGACAGCAAAGGTGACAGAGCCAGGCCAGGTGACAGAGCCAGGCCAGGTGACACTGCCAGGCCAGGTGACAGGGCCAGGCCAGGTGACACTGCCAGGCCAGGTGACAACAAAGGTGACACAGCCAGGCCAGGTGACAGGGCCAGGCCAGGTGACACTGCCAGGCCAGGTGACAAAGGTGACAGGGCCAGGCCAGGTGACAGTGGCAGTGACAGCGACGTGGAGGACCCCGGGGCACCCGAGGGAGGGGCGGCCGCGCCCTCGGAGGACGAGGACGACGCCGAGTACTTCAGGCAGGAGGTGGGGGAGGAGCCCGACACAGGTGAGTTTGGGGGGGACACAGGTGAGGTGGGGGGGTTACAGGTGATTTGGGAGGGTTAAAGGTGATTTTGGGGGGGTTAAAGGTGAGTCTGGGGGGGTTAAAGGTGAGTTGGGGGGTTACAGGTGATTTTAGGGGGTTACAGGTGATTTGGGGAGGATTTGAGGGGATTACAGGTGATTTTGGGGGGTTACAGGTGATTTTACAGGAGGGTTAAAGGTGATTTGGGGAGTTACAGGTGAGTTTGGAGGGGTTAAAAGTGATTTTGAGGAGGTTACAGGTGAGTCTGGGGGTTAAAGATGAGTTTGGGGGTTAAAGGTGATTTTGGGGGGAGTTACAGGTGATTTTGGGGGGTTACAGGTGATTTACAGGGGGTTACAGGTGATTTGGGGGGGTTAAAGGTGAGTCTGGGGGGGTTACAGGTGATTTGGGGAGGATTTGAGGGGGTTACAGGTGATTTACAGGGGGTTATAGGTGAGTTTGGGGGGTTAAAAGTGATTTTTGGGGGGTTAAAAGTGATTTTGGGGGGGTTAAAAGTGATTTTGGGGGGTTACAGGTAATTCACAGGGTTAACGGTGATTTTGTAGGGGTTACAGGTGATTTACAGGGGGGTTACAGGTGAGTTTGGGGGGTTACAGGTGATTTTAGGGGGGGTTACAGGTGATTTAGGGGTTGATGGAGGTGGTTGATGACACCAAAATTCCTGAATTTCCGTGATTTACTTCAAAGTAAACGCTCTGACACCTCCTAAACTGCCCCTTTTCACCCCAAAATTTTCCCTTTTCGCCCCAAAACTGCCCCTTTTTCACCTTTTCTTGCCCTTTTCCTCCCCAGATTTGTTCCCCACCAAGAGGAAACGAAGCCCCTCGGGCTCTTCCCGACCCTGGAAACGACGGAAGCAGAACTGGGAGACCCCAAAATCCCACCCAAACAACCCCAAATCCCACAAAAACCACCCCAAATCCCACAAAAACAACCCCAAATCCCACAAAAACACCCCCAAATCCCACAAAAACACCCCCAAATCCCACAAAAACCACCCCAAATCCCACAAAAACAACCCCAAATCCCACCTGGGAGACCCCAAAATCCCACCCAAACAACCCCAAATCCCAAAAACACCCCAAATCCCACCCAGGACACCCCAAATCCCACCTGGGAACCCCCAAATCCCACCCAAACAACCCCAAATCCCACCCAAAGACCCCAAAATCTCCCTCTGGGGCCCCCAAATCCCCAAAAACTCCCCAAAATCTCCCTCTGGGACCCCAAAATCCCCCAAAAACTCCCCAAAATCTCCCTCTGGGACCCCAAAATCCCAACCAGGACCCCCCAAATCCCACAAAAACCCCTCAAAATCCCAGAAAAAAACCCCAAAATCCCAGAAAACCACCCCAAAATCCCAGCCCAGGCCGAAGGTTCGGGGGCAGCTCCTGGGGGGCTGGAAAAAGGGGATTTTCCAACGTCCTGGGAAATCCAGGAAGGGGAAAAAATGAACTTTGGGGGGGAGGAAAAATTGGGGAAACCCCCCCCAAAAAAATCCCATTTCCAGTGGGAAAAAAAAAGGAATTTGGGGGTTTTTTTGGGATTTGGGGGGGTTTTCCCTGGATTTTTGGGGGGTCCGAGGCCCTTCCCAAATAAAGGATGGAAAAATTCCCCCCCACCCTCAAGGTGTGTGATTTTTTGGGGGATATTTTGGGGTATTTGGGGGATATTTGGGGTATTTGGAGATATTTGGGGGTTTGGGGTATTTAGGGGTATTTTGGGGTTAGAATATTGGGGATATTTGGGGGTTTTTGGGGATATTGGGGGTATTTTTGGGATATATTTGGTGGTGCCTTTGGGGGTATTTGGGGTCCCTTTTGGGGTATTTTTGGGGTGTTTTGGGGTCCATTTTGAGGTATTTTGGAGGTCTGTTTTGGGGGTATTTTGGGGTCACTTTGGAGGTATTTGGGGGATATTTTGGGGTCCCTTTGGGGTATTTGGGGGATATTTTGGGGTCCCTGTGGGATCTCAGGGGGTATTTTGGGGTCCTTTTAGAGCCCCTTTGAGGTATTTTGGGGTCCATTTTAGGGGGGGGATATTTTGGAGTCCCTTTGAGGGGTATTTTGAGTCCCTTTGAGGGTATTTTGGGGGTTTTTTGGGTATTTTAAGGGCCTTTGGGGCTGATTTTGGGCTATTTTGGGGTTATTTCGGGTCCCCTCACGACTCACCCAATCAGCAGCTCGGACACAAAACCCCCTCAGGACTCACCCAATCAGCAGCTCCGACACAAACCCCCCCCTCAAGACTCACCCAATCAGCAGCTCGGACACAAAACCCCCTCAGGACTCACCCAATCACAGACTCCGACACATCCCCACCCTCAGACCGCTCCTCCAATGAGGAAGCGCCTTGTTGGGGGGGGTTGCCCGGCAACGGAGCCAAAATGGCGGCGGCGCCAAAACCGGCACTTTTTACCCCAAAATTGTCCCTTTTTACCCCTTTTTTTGGCCTTTTTTTCCCCCCAGGTTCGTCCCCCCAGCTCAGCCCAACACCCGGTGCACAAGCAGAGCTTTATTCGGGACCCAGCTGGTCCTACTGGGGTCCAACTGGTGCCACTGGGGTCCAACTGGGCCCACTGGGATCCAACTGGGCCTACTGGGATCCAACTGGGCCTACTGGGATCCAACTGGGAGCGGCGCCCGATCAGTTGGTGGAGGGTCTGGGGGGGGAAAGAAAAGGGGGTGTTCAGGAAAGGGACCCCCCAAAACAGAACCAGGACCCCCCTAAACAGAACCAGGACCCCCTAAACAGAACCAGGACCCCCTAAAAAGTGTCAAGGACCCCCCCAAACAGTGACAGGGACTCCCCAAACAGTGACAGGGACCCCCCAGACAGAACTAAGACCCCCCCAAACAGAACCAAGACCCCCTAAACAGAACCAGGACCCCCCCAAACAGTGACAGGGACCCCCCAAAACAGAACCAGGACCCCCCCAAACAGAACCAGGACCCCCTAAAAAGTGTCAGGGACCCCCCAGACAGAACCGAGACCCCCCCAAACAGAACCAAGACCCCCTAGACAGAACCAAGACCCCCCCAAACAGAACCAAGACCCCCCAAACAGAACCAGAACCCCCCCAAACAGTGACAGGGACCCCCCAGACAGAACCAGGACACCCCTAAACAGTGACAAGGACCCCCAAAGAGCATCAGGGACCCCCAAAGCAGAACCAAGACCCCCAAACAGAACCAGGACCCCTAAAGAGTCATCAAGGACCCCCAAACAGTGTCAGGGACCCCCAAAGAGTGACAAGGACCCCCAAGGCGTGTCAGGGACCCCCAAAACAGGACCAAGACCCCCAAACAGAACCAGGACCCCCTAAAGAGTCTCAGGGACCCCCCAAAGAGTGACAGGGACCCCTCAAACACTGTCAGGGACCCCCCAAAGAGTCTCAAGACCCCCCAAACACTGTCAGGGACCCCCCAAAGAGTGACAGGGACCCCCAAAGAGTGACAAGGACCCCTAAACAGAACCAAGACCCCCAAACAGAACCAGGACCCCCCAAACAGAACCAAGACCCCCCCCAAACAGTGCCAGGGACCCCCAGGACCCCCTAAACGACATCAGGCAGCCCCCCATCCCCCCCATACTTGGCCCACTCGACGTTGAGGATGAGGTGGTCGTAGCCGAAGCCGGAGACGCCGGCGATGGCGCGCGCGGCGTCCTCGCGCCGGTGGAAGCTGATGAAGGCGAAACCCTGGCATTTTGGGGTAAGGAACGATCAGGGAGGGAGGAGAGACCCCCAGAGACCCCCTGGCACCCCCTGCCCACCTTGGACTGGCCGGTGGTCTTGTCCTTGGCCAGGTAGATGCGGGAGATGGAGCCGAAGGGCCGGAACAGCTCCTGCAGGTCGGTCTCGCGCGTGTCCTCCGACAGGTTGGTCACGCGGATCGTGGCGTTGTCGTCGGCTGGGGAGGGTTTGAGGGGGGTCAGGGGGGTCTTTGGGGGTCCCCAAAACTCTTTGGGGGTCCCTAAAGCTCCTTTTGGGGGGGAGGGGGGGGGTTGGGGGGGTTCTTACCACGCCGGTTGGGCTGCATGGACTCCCCTCGGCGGCTGGCGCCGTCCCGCAGGCTGGGGGGGACGGTACTTGCCAGTCTTGCTCACCTGGGACTGCACCGGCTCTGGCTCTGAAACCATGACATGAGGGTGAAACTCCCTCCCAGTAACCCTAAACACCATCCCAGTGACCACCAGTACAGTCCCAGTAACCATAAACCCCGTCCCAGTGCCCCCCAGTGCCGTCCCGCAGGCTGGGAGGGACGGACTTGCCAGTCTTGCTCACCTGGGACTGCACCGGCTCTGGCTCTGCAGGGGGACAGGTGAGGGTCAGACCCAATCCCAGTAACCCTAAACATCATCCCAGTAACCACCAGTACAGTCCCAGTAACCCCAGTAACCATAATCACTGTGCCCCCCAGTGCCGTCCCGCAGGCTGGGGGGGACGGACTTGCCCGTCTTGCTCACCTGGGACTGCACCGGTTCTGGCTCTGAAAGCCACAACGTGAGGGTGAGACCCCTCCCAGTAACCTCCCAGTACAGTCCCAGTACCCCAGTAACCCTAAACACTGTCCCAGTGCCGTCCCGCAGGCTGGGGGGGACGTACTTGCCAGTCTTGCTCACCTGGGACTGCACCGGTTCCGGCTCTGAAACCACAATGTGAGGGTGAAATTCCCTCCCAGTGACTCCCAGTACAGTCCCAGTAACCATAAACCCCAGGCCCCCAGTGCCCCCCAGTGCCGTCCCGCAGGCTGGGAGGGACGTACTTGCCAGTCTTGCTCACCTGGGACTGCACCGGTTCCGGCTCTGAAACCACAACCAGGGGGCAACTGAGGGTGAAACCTGCTCCCAGTTACCCCCAGTACAGTCCCAGTAACTCCCAGTATCCTCCAGTAACCATAAACACTGTCCCAGTGCCCCCCAGTGCCGTCCCGCAGGCTGGGAGGGACGGACTTGCCAGTCTTGCTCACCTGGGACTGCACCGGCTCTGGCTCTGCAGGGGGACAGGTGAGGGTCAGACCCCCTCCCAGTGACCACCAGTACAGTCCCACTTACACCCAGTAACCCTAAACACCTTCCCAGTGCTCCCCAGTGCCCCCCAGTGCCATCCCCCAGGCTGGGGGGGACGGACTTGCCAGTCTTGCTCACCTGGGACTGCACCGGTTCTGGCTCTGCAGGGGGACAGGTGAGGGTGAGACCCCATCCCAGTAACCCTAAACATCATCCCAGTAACCACCAGTACAGTCCCAGTAACCATAAACCCCGTCCCAGTGCCCCCCAGTGCCGTCCTGCAGGCTGGGAGGGACGGACTTGCCAGTCTTGCTCACCTGGGACTGCACCGGTTCTGGCTCTGAAACCACAACGTGAGGGTGAAATTCCCTCCCAGTGACTCCCAGTACAGTCCCAGTAACCCCCAGTATCCTCCAGTAACCATAAACACCGTCCCAGTGCCCCCCAGTGCCGTCCCGCAGGCTGGGAGGGACGGACTTGCCAGTCTTGCTCACCTGGGACTGCACCGGCTCTGGCTCTGAAACCACAACCAGGGGGTGAGATCCCCTCCCAGTGACCCTAAACACCATCCCAGTAACCCTAAACTCCATCCCAGTAACCCTAAACACCATCCCAGTGACCCCCAGTGACCCTAAACACCATCCCAGTGACCCTAAACACCATCCCAGTGACCCTAAAAACCATCCCAGTAACCCTGAACACCATCCCAGTAACCCTGAACTCCATCCCAGTAACCCTGAACTCCATCCCAGTAACCCTGAACACCATCCCAGTAACCCTAATCTCCATCCCAGTAACAATAAACACCATCCCAGTGACCCTAAACACCATCCCAGTGACCCCCGTAACCCTGAACTCCATCCCAGTGACCCTAAACACCATCCCAGTAACAATAAACTCCATCCCAGTAACCCTGAACACCATCCCAGTGATCCCCAGTAACCCTAAACTCCATCCCAGTAACCCTAAATCCATTCCAGTGACCCTAAACACCATCCCAGTAACAATAAACTCCATCCCAGTGACCCTAAAAACCATCCCAGTAACTCTGAACTCCATCCCAGTAACCCCCAGTAACCCTAAACCCCCTCCCAGCATTTTTGGTGGGACAAGCACCATTTTTGTGGGACAAAAACCACATTTTGTGGGACAAAAACCATTTTTTGTGGGACAAAAACCAATTTTTGTGGGACAAGGAGCATTTTTGTGGGACAAAAACCACATTTTGTGGGACGAGCACCAATTTTTGTGGGACAAACACCACTTTTGGTGGGACAAAAACCCCTTTTTGTGGGACAAACACCCCTTTTTGAGTGACAGGCACCATTCTGGTGTGACAAACACCACTTTTGATGGGACAAACACTGATTTTGTGGGACAAACACCAATTTTGTGGGACAAACACCAATTTTGTGGGACAAAAACCACCTTTTGTGGGACAAACACCAATTTTTGTGGGACAAAACCCACTTTTTGTGGGACAAAACCCACTTTTTGTAGGACAAAACCCATTTCTGATGGGACAAAACCCATTTCTGATGGCACAAAAACCATTTCTGATGGGACAAAAACCATTTCTGATGGGACAAAAACCACTTCTTGTGGGACAAAACCCATTTCTGATGGGACAAACACCAATTTTTGTGGGACAGGGACCATTCTGGTGTGACAAACACCACTTTTTGTGGGACAAACACTGATTTTGTGGGACAAACACCAATTTTGTGGGACAAAAACCATTTCTGATGGGACAAGCACCCCTTTTTGTGGGACAAACACCGATTTTGTGGGACAAGCACCACTTTTGGTGTGCCAAACACCAATTTTTGTGGAACAAAAACCACTTTCTGTGGGACAAAAACCACTTTTTGTGGGACAAAACCCACTTTTTGTGGGACACTGGTGTGCCAAACACCAATTCTGATGGGACAAAAACCATTTTTGATGGGACAAAAACCACATTTTGTGGGACAAAACCCATTTCTGATGGGACAAAAACCATTTCTGATGTGCCAAACCCCCCTTTCTGAGCGACAGGGACGGCTGGGGTGGGTGTGACCCCCCCAAAAAGGTCCGTGGGACCCTCGTACCCCCCGGCAGTTTGTCCTTGTCCCCCGTGGAGAGCCCCAACTGCTCGGCCAGCTCCTTCTGCATCGGGCCCAGCGTGTCCTTGTAGGGGCAGCGCGTGGTCCAGTGGTCACCCTTGCAGATACGGCAGGACACGATCTTCTGTCCCTTCAGCTTGTTCATGGGGTCCTCCTCCTCCTGGCAGTTCAGATCCTGCAAAAAAACCCCCAAAAAAAAGCTCAAATCCCAAAATCTGGGACCTCAAAACAGCTGGGACACCAAAAATCCATCCTGAAACACCAAAAATCCATCCTGAAACACCAAAACATCTCAGATCCCAAAACAGCTGGGACAGGATCTTCTGTCCCTTCAGCTTGTTCATGGGGTCCTCCTCCTCCTGGCAGTTCAGATCCTGCAAAAAAAACCCCAAAAAAACATCCCTTAAACACCAAAAATCTGGGACCCCAAAACAGCCGGGACACCAAAAATCCATCCTGAAACAACAAAACAGCTGGGACACCAAAAATCCATCCTGAAACACCAAAACATCTCAGACCCCAAAACAGCTGGGACAGGATCTTCTGTCCCTTCAGCTTGTTCATGGGGTCCTCCTCCTCCTGGCAGTTCAGATCCTGCAAAAAAACCCCAAAAAACAGCTCAGATCCCAAAAATCTGGGACCTCAAAACAGCTGGGACACCAAAAATCCATCCTGAAACACCAAAACATCTCAGATCCCAAAACAGCTGGGACAGGATCTTCTGTCCCTTCAGCTTGTTCATGGGGTCCTCCTCCTCCTGGCAGTTCAGATCCTGCAAAAAAACCCCAAAAAACAGCTCAGATCCCAAAAATCTGGGACCTCAAAACAGCTGGGACACCAAAAAAATGGAACCCTAAAAAAAATGGGACAGGATCTTCTGTCCCTTCAGCTTGTTCATGGGGTCCTCCTCCTCCTGGCAGTTCAGATCCTGCAAAAAAAACCCCAAAAAAACATCCCTTAAACACCAAAAATCCATCCTGAAACACCAAAAATCCATCCTGAAACACCAAAAAGCTGGGACACCAAAAATCCATCCTGAAACACCAAAAATCCATCCTGAAACACCAAAAATCTGGGACACCAAAAATCCATCCTGAAACACCAAAAATCCATCCTGAAACACCAAAACATCTCAGATCCCAAAACAGCTGGGACAGGATCTTCTGTCCCTTCAGCTTGTTCATGGGGTCCTCCTCCTCCTGGCAGTTCAGATCCTGCAAAAACCCCAAAAAACATCCCTTAAACCCCAAAAATCCATCCTGAAACACCAAAAATCCATCCTGAAACACCAAAAATCCATCCTGAAACCCCAAAACATCTCAGATCCCAAAACAGCTGGGACAGGATCTTCTGTCCCTTCAGCTTGTTCATGGGGTCCTCCTCCTCCTGGCAGTTCAGATCCTGCAAAAACCCAAAAAAACATCCCTTAAACACCAAAAATCCATCCTGAAACACCAAAACAGCTGGGATCCTGAAAAAAATGGGACAGGATCTTCTGTCCCTTCAGCTTGTTCATGGGGTCCTCCTCCTCCTGGCAGTTCAGATCCTGCACAAAAACCCCAAAAAACAGCTCAGATCCCAAAAATCTGGGACCCCAAAACAGCCGGGACACCAAAACAGCTGGGACAGGATCTTCTGTCCCTTCAGCTTGTTCATGGGGTCCTCCTCCTCCTGGCAGTTCAGATCCTGCAAAAAAAACCTCCCAAAAAATCCCTTAAACACCAAAAATCTGGGACCTCAAAAAAAATGGGACCCTGAAAAAAATGGGATCACAAAAAAATGGGACCTCAAAAATCTGGGACCTCAAAAAAAATGGGACCCTAAAAAAAATGGGATCCCATAAAAATGGGACCTCAAAAATCTGGGACCCCCAAAAAAATGGGACCTCCAAAATCTGGGACCTCCAAAAAAATGGGATCCCAAAAATCTGGGACACCAAAAATCTGGGACCTCCAAAAAAATGGGACCCCAAAAAACTGAGACCCAAAAATCTGGGACCCAAAAATCTGAGATCTTCAGAAAAATGGGACCTCCAAAAATCTGGGACCCCCAAAAAGGGACCCCAAAACAGCTGGGACAGCACCTGACCCCCCCAGGTGCCCCCTCAGGTGCCAGGGACACACCTGAGCCCCCCAGGTGCCCCCTGAGCCCCCCCAGGTGCCCCCAGGTGCCAGGGACACACCTGAGCCCCCAGGTGCCCCCTGAGCCCCCCCAAGGTGCCCCTCAGGTGCCAGGGACACACCTGAGCCCCCAGGTGCCCCTGAGCCCCCAGGTGCCCCCAGGTGCCCCCTGACCTCCTTGCTGGTGATGAAGGTCATGAAGACGTTCGTCGCTCACGGTGGTCGTGGCCACGTTGGGACCCCCAGGTGCCCCCAGGTGCCCCCCAGGTGCCAGGGACACACCTGACCCCCAGGTGCCCCCCAGGTGCCCCCCAGGTGCCCCCAAGGTGCCAGGGACACACCTGACCCCCAGGTGCCCCCCAGGTGCCCCCAGGTGCCCCCAGGTGCCAGGGCACACCTGAGCCCCCAGGTGCCCCCCAGGTGCCCCCAGGTGCCCCCTGACCTCCTTGCTGGTGATGAAGGTCATGAAGACGCTAGTCGCTCACGGTGGTCGTGGCCACGTTGGGACCCCAGGTGCCCCCAGGTGCCCCCAGGTGCCAGGGACACACCTGAGCCCCCCAGGTGCCCCCTGAGCCCCCCCAGGTGCCCCCCAGGTGCCCCCCTGACCTCCTTGCTGGTGATGAAGGTCATGAAGACGTCGTCGCTCACGGTGGTCGTGGCCACGTTGGGACCCCTCAGGTGCCCCCAGGTGCCCCCCAGGTGCCCCCAGGTGCCAGGGACACACCTGAGCCCCCAGGGACACACCTGAGCCCCCAGGTGCCCCTGAGCCCCCCAGGTGCCCCCCAGGTGCCCCCCTGACCTCCTTGCTGGTGATGAAGGTCATGAAGACGTCGTCGCTCACGGTGGTCGTGGCCACGTTAGGACCCCCAGGTGCCCCCAGGTGCCCCCCAGGTGCCAGGGACACACCTGAGCCCCCAGGTGCCCCCCTGAGCCCCCCAGGTGCCCCCAGGTGCCCCCTGACCTCCCTTGCTGGTGATGAAGGTCATGAAGACGTCGACTCACGGTGGTCGTGGCCACGTTGGGACCCCAGGTGCCCCCAGGTGCCCCCAGGTGCCAGGGACACACCTGACCCCAGGTGCCCCCAGGTGCCCCCAGGTGCCCCCAAGGTGCCAGGACACACCTGACCCCCAGGTGCCCCCAGGTGCCCCCAGGTGCCAGGGACACACCTGAGCCCCCAGGTGCCCCCTGAGCCTCCCAGGTGCCCCCAGGTGCCCCCTGACCTCCTTGCTGGTGATGAAGGTCATGAAGACGTCGCCGCTCACGGTGGTCGTGGCCACGTTGGGACCCCCAGGTGCCCCCAGGTGCCCCCCAGGTGCCAGGGACACACCTGACCCCCCAGGTGCCTCCCAGGTGCCCCCCCAGGTGCCCCCCAAGGTGCCAGGTGACACACCTGACCCCCAGGTGCCCCCAGGTGCCCCTCAGGTGCCCCCAGGTGCCAGGGACACACCTGAGCCCCAGGTGCCCCCAGGTGCCCCCTAGGTGCCCCTGACCTCCTTGCTGGTGATGAAGGTCATGAAGACGTCGTCGCTCACGGTGATCGTGGCCACGTTGGGACCCAGGTGCCCCTCAGGTGCCCCCCAGGTGCCAGGGACACACCTGAGCCCCCAGGTGACCCTGAGCCCCCAGGTGCCCCCTAGGTGCCCCCTGACCTCCTTGCTGGTGATGAAGGTCATGAAGACGTCGCCGCTCACGGTGGTCGTGGCCACGTTGGGGACTCCCAGGTGCCCCCAGGTGCCCCCAGGTGCCAGGGACACACCTGAGCCCCCAGGTGCCAGGGCACACCTGAGCCCCCAGGTGCCCCTGAGCCCCCAGGTGCCCCCAGGTGCCCCCAGGTGCCCCCTGACCTCCTTGCTGGTGATGAAGGTCATGAAGACGTCGTCGCTCACGGTGGTCGTGGCCACGTTGGGACCCCCAGGTGCCCCCCAGGTGCCCCCAGGTGACCCCCAAGGTGCCAGGACACACCTGAGCCCCCAGGTGCCCCCCCAGGTGCCCCCAGGTGCCCCCCTGACCTCCTTGCTGGTGATGAAGGTCATGAAGACGTCGTCGCTCACGGTGGTCGTGGCCACGTTGGGACCCCCCAGGTGCCCCCCCAGGTGCCCCCTCAGGTGCCAGGGACACACCTGAGCCCCCCAGGTGCCCCCTGAGCCCCCCCAGGTGCCCCCCAGGTGCCCCCCTGACCTCCTTGCTGGTGATGAAGGTCATGAAGACGTCGTCGCTCACGGTGGTCGTGGCCACGTTGGGGCCGGGGGCGTCGAACTCCGAGTTCCCAAACTTCTTCCAGTTCTTGGAGAGGGGAATAAGAGGGAAAAATCCCGGGAAAATGAGGGGGGAATCATGGGAAATAGAGGGGGGAAATCCAGGGAAAATCCCGGGAAAATGAGGGGGGAATCATGGGAAAATCACGGGGAATTGAGGGGGGGAATCCAGGGAAAATCCAGGGGAATGGAGGGGGAAAATCCCGGGAAATGGAGGGGGGAATAACAGGGAAATCCCGGGAAAATGGAGGGGGAAAATCCTGGGAAAATGAGGGGGGAAATCCTGGGAAATGGAGGGGGAAAATCCTGGGAAGTGGAGAGGGAAAATCTTGGGAAACGGAGAGGGAAAATCCCAGGAAATGGAGGGGGAACATCCTGGGAAATAGAGAGGAAAAATCCCAGGGAGATCCTGGGGAATTGAGGGGGAACAGCCCGGGAAATGGAGCGGGAAAAGCAAAGGAAAATCCCAGGAAAGGGAGTGGGAAAAGCACAGGAAAATCCCAGGAAATGGAGTGGGAAAAGCACAGGAAAATCCCAGGAAATGGAGTAGGAAAAGCACAGGAAAATCCCGGGAAATGGAAGGGGGAAATCACAGGAAAATCCCGGGAAATGGAGGGGGAAAATCCCGGGAAATGGAGTAGGAAAAGCACAGGAAAATCCCAGGAAATGGAGCGGGAAAAGCAAAGGAAAATCCCAGGGAATGGAGCGGGAAAAGCACAGGAAAATCCCAGGAAATGGAAGGGGGAAATCACAGGAAAATCCCAGGAAATGGAGGGGGGAAATCACAGGAAAACCCCAGGAAATGGAAGGGGGAAAATCCCAAGGAATTCCCCCCCGCTTCCCAAGGAATTCCTCCCCCATTCCCAAGGAATTCCCCCCCCCCCATTCCCACGGGAATCCCCCATTCCCAAGGAATTTCCCCCCATTCCCAAGGGAATTCCCCCCCCAATACCATGGGAATTCCTCCCCAATCCCAAGGAATCCCCCATTCCCAAGGAATTTCCTCCCCATTCCCAAGGAATTTCCTCCCCAATCCCAAGGAATTCCCCCATTCCCAAGGAATTCCCCATTCCCAAGGAATTCTCCCCATTCCTGCAGGAATTCCCCCATTCCCACGGGAATCCCCCATTCCCAAGGAATTTCCCCCCATTCCCAAGGGAATTCCCCATTCCCACGGGAATTCCTGTCCCCAATCCCAAGGAATTCCTCCCCATTCCCAAGGAATTTCCCTCCCCATTCCCAAGGGAATTCCCCTCCCAATCCCAAGGAATTCCCCCTCATTCCCAAGGGATTCCTCCCCATTCCTGCAGGAATTCCCCATTCCCACGGGAATTCCCCCATTCCCAAGGGAATTTCCCCCCCCATTCCCATGAGAATTCCCCCCATTCCCAAGGGAATTCCCCCCCCATTCCCAAGGAATTCCCCCCCATTCCCACGGGAATTCCCCCACCTTGCGCCGGGCCACGGCCTTGGAGGCTTTCCGGGTCTCAATGCGGAAGGTCCGGATGATCTGGGGGGAAAAAAACGGGATCAGCCCCAAATTTGGGGTCACCTGAACCCACCTGAACCCATAGGTGACAAATTTGGGGTCACCTGAGCCCACAGGTGACAAATTTGGGGTCACCTGAACCCACAGGTGACAGATTTGGCGTCACCTGAACCCCCCAGGTGACAAATTTGGGGTGACCTGAACCCACCTGAGCCCACAGGTGACAAATTTGGGGTCACCTGAACCCACAGGTGACAAATTTGGGGTCACCTGAGCCCACCTGAACCCACAGGTGACAAAGTTGGGGCCACCTGAACCCACAGGTGACAAATTTGGGGTCACCTGAGCCCCCAGGTGACAGATTTGGGGTCACCTGAACCCACAGGTGACAAATTTGGGGTCACCTGAACCCCCAGGTGACAAATTTGGGGTTACCTGAACCCACAGGTGACAGAGTTGGGGTCACCTGAGCCCCCAGGTGACAAATTTGGGGTCACCTGAGCCCACAGGTGACAAATTTGGGATCACCTGAACCCCACAGGTGACAAATTTGGGGTCACCTGAGCCCACCTGATCCCACAGGTGAGAGATTTGGGGTCACCTGAACCCACCTGATCCCACAGGGGACAAATTTGGGGTCACCTGAACCCCCAGGTGACAAATTTGGGGTCACCTGAACCCACAGGTGACAGATTTGGGGTCACCTGAACCCCACAGGTGACAAAGTTGGGGTCACCTGAGCCCACAGGTGACAAATTTGGGGTCACCTGAACCCACAGGTGACAAATTTGGGGTCACCTGAGCCCACAGGTGACAAATTTGGGGTCACCTGAAACCCACAGGTGACAGATTTGGGGTCACCTGAACCCACAGGTGACAGATTTGGGGTCACCTGAGCCCACAGGTGACAAATTTGGGGTCACCTGAGCCCACAGGTGACAGATTTGGGGTCACCTGAACCCCACAGGTGACAAATTTGGGGTCACCTGACCCCACAAGTGACAAATTTGGGGTCACCTGAACCTACAGGTGACAAATTTGGGCCCACCTTGACCTTCCTGCCGTCCTCCTCCTCACGGTACTCGGTGATGGTTTTGATGTTCCCGTTGATCAGCTCCTTGGGGGAGGGGAGGGGCCCTGCAGGGACAGGTGAGACCCCCCAGGTGTGACCCAGGGACAGGGGAGACCCCCCAGGTGAGACCCCCCAGGCGAGACCCCCCAGGGACAGGGGAGACCCCCCAGGTGAGACCCCCCAGGTGAGACCCCCCAGGGACAGGAGAGACCCCCAGGTGAGACCCCCAGGGACAGGAGACCCCCAGGGACAGGTGAGACCCCCAGGTGAGACCCCCAGGGACAGGGAGACCCCCAGGGACAGGTGAGACCCCCAGGTGAGACCCCCAGGGACAGGAGACCCCCAGGGACAGGTGAGACCCCCAGGTGAGACCCCCAGGGACAGGTGAGACCCCCCAGGTGAGACCACCCAGGGCCAGGGGAGACCCCCCAGGGACAGGGGAGACCCCCCAGGTGAGACCCCCCAGGGACAGGGGAGACCCTCCAGGGACAGGGGAGACCCCCCAGGTGAGACCCCCCAGGGACAGGGGAGACCCCCCCAGGGACAGGTGAGACCCCCCCAGGTGAGACCCCCCAGGGACAGGGGAGACCCCCCAGGGGTGACCCAAGGACAGGCGAGACCCCCCAGGGACAGGGGAGACCCCCCAGGTGAGACCCCCCCAGGTGAGACCCCCCAGGTTTGGGGGAGCATTTAGGGGGGTCCCAGGGCCAGGTGAGACCCCCAGGTTTGGGGAGCATTTAGGGGGTGTGGGGTATTTTGGGGGGTCCCAGGGCCAGGTGAGACCCCCCAGGTTTAGGGGAGCATTCAGGGGTGTGGGGGGTATTTTGGGGGTCCCAGGGCCAGGTGAGACCCCCCAGGTTTGGGGGAGCATTTAGGGGGGTCCCAGGGCCAGGTGAGACCCCCCAGGTTTGGGGGAGTATTTAGGGGGTGTGGGGGGTATTTTGGGGGGTCCCAGGGCCAGGTGAGACCCCCCCAGGGGTGTGGGGGGTATTTTGGGGGGTCCCAGGGCCAGGTGAGCCCCCCCAGGTTTGGGGGAGCATTTAGGGGGTGTGGGGGGTATTTTGGGGGGTCCCAGGGCCAGGTGAGCCCCCCCAGGGCCAGGTGAGCCCCCCCAGGGCCAGGTGAGCCCCCCCAGGTTTAGGGGAGCATTTAGGGGGTGTGGGGGGTATTTTGGGGGGTCCCAGGGCCAGGTGAGACCCCCCCAGGGCCAGGTGAGACCCCCCAGGTTTGGGGGAGTATTTAGGGAGGTGTGGGGGGTATTTTGGGGTCCCAGGGCCAGGTGAGACCCCCAGGTTTGGGGAGCATTCAGGGGTGTGGGGGTATTTTGGGGGTCCCAGGGCCAGGTGAGCCCCAGGGGTAGGGGAGCATTTAGGGGTGTGGGGGATTTAGGGGGTGGGGATATTTGGGGGTCCCAGGGCCAGGTGAGCCCCCAGGTTTAGGGGAGCATTCAGGGGTGTGGGGGATTTAGGGGGTGTGGGGGTATTTTGGGGGTCCCAGGGCCAGGTGAGCCCCCAGGGGTGGGAAGCATTTAGGGGGTGTGGGGGGGATTTAGGGGGTGTGGGGGATATTTTGGGGGGTCCCAGGGCCAGGTGAGCCCCCCCAGGGCCAGGTGAGCCCCCCCAGGTGCCCCCCCAGCTCTCACCTCCCTTGAGCAGCTCGGCCTCGGCGCTGGAGGGACCCCCCAGGACCCCGGGCAGGGGGAGGTCCTTGAGCAGCTCACTGGTGATGACCTTGTCTGGGGGGGCAGGGAAACCGTCACCTGGGCACAGGTAATGCCCAACAACAACACCCCCAGCTCACCTGGGCACAGGTAACCCCCCCAACAACACCCCCAACTCACCTGGGCACAGGGGATGCCCAACAACACCCCCAACTCACCTGGGCACAGGTGATGCCCAACAATGCCCCCAGCTCACCTGGGCACAGGTAATGCCCACCTGGGCACAGGTAACACCCACGTGGGCACAGGGGATGCCCACCTGGGCACAGGTAACAACCAACAACACCCACAGCTCACCTGGGCACAGGTGACACCCACCTGGGCACAGGTGCCCCCCCCAGCAGGTGGCAGCCCCCACAGGTGCCCCCCCCCCCAGGTGGGACTCACCATCCTCTCCTCCCTCCTCCTCCACCTGGTCGGCCCAGCTGGGCTTGGAGCTGGGGGAGATTGGGGGGGGGAAAACACCTCAGACCCCCCCCTTGTCACCCCCCCTGTCACCTCCCCCCAGACCCCCTGTCATTGTCACCCCCTCAGACCCCCC